CTTAACGTCTTCACGGTGCCCAAATTATCTGATTAACTTAGTTGAACCTGGCTTTCATTTCCAGAATAAACAATTCAGTGTGTCCTGCACACAGTCTCTTTATGAACTATCCTTGACCCATTTATCTACTAATGGAAATATAATGATATAAAAAGAGGCCTTACCCTCTCATGAACCAGGGAATGCACATTTCTGTTTATGGCGGAAATGTAACCATCCACATAAGAGAATGAGTTAGGCGCCAGGACTTGGTAAAGATTCAGTCCCTTGGCTGTGAAAGAAAGGAATCAAAGACAATATTAAAGCGTGAATGCCAACTTCTCTCACAAACGTGTAATAAACACACTAGTTAGAAACACATTTTTATTATAAAGTTGACTAAATTTTGTTTAACTCCATTGTACTAGTCTACAGTACTGTAAAGAGAAGGAAGTTTGGGTGATGTAAATTCAAAGCAAGATAAAAACAATGGACAAGAGCTAACAACATTTAAACAACACATGCGCACTTAATTAAGTAGTCTTTTACTTACATGTTTAATTCAAAGTCACCTACAATGTACAGTAAATCTGCATCTTCAAACTCCTTGCGGTTTTACTTTACCTTTCAAACCATGTTGTTTGAGCCATTCAGTTGATGTTCTTGCAGGGAATGACGGATGTTCCACTACCAGTGGAGAGCTATCAACAGCAAGTATTTCATTCTCCTCTGAAGGAAGCCTCATTAGATCCATACTAAAAGGTATCTATCACATAACAGACATAATCCATAATTAACTCAAAACTAAAGCATAAGATCTAGGTTTTCAAAAGTACAGTTGAACCTCTCCACAACGGTCACCTTGGGGACAGATGAAAGTGGCCGGCGTTGTAGAGAGGTGGCCGTTTTAAAGAGGTTCAAACAAGGGTCAATGTATGGACTGTCTGCCGAAAAAATGGCCGTTGTGGAGAGGTGGCCATTAGTGGATGTTCGACTGTACATAAAATGTCTTCTGTTCTGTACTAAAGTTCACATGTGAGCTTTCAAAAAATGACTCAGCCAGTGTTTCAATGTTGATAAACTGCCAGTTCAACAACACAATCTAGATGCCGTCTGGACGAATGCAGAAGACAAACCACATGGCATGATAACGACTTTCAAAATAGGATTTAAGATAATTTTACTCAAAGAGGATAGCAGGTGAAAATGAGGAAATGAGAAACTGATACACTTGTGTCTCTCATGACTTGGATCCTCAGGGCACAATCATCAAGCTTTATTAGGAAAAACCACATGTGATATACTTACAGTGCTTAAACAACTGTCAACGCTTGCTTGAACAGCAATTCTTGTGTCGCCAATTACCCCACTCTTCAACTCCATTATCTTCTTCAATATTTCCTGAGCCTTCCTCATTTCCTCCGCTAATAAACTAAGATCAGTTCCAGTCATGATTTGTTCCTGCAAAGAGGCCATAAAATGGTACAAAATGGTGAACGTGCCACAGAAGTTACTTGCATTTTTTTTCTGTGTAGTTGTTGACACTGCTCTATTTCACATACTAAACAGGCATTTACAAGAGGTCTACATATGTAATCAAAACAACAACTAAAGGCTTTAGTTTTTGATCAAGGAATGACCAACTTAAGGCCTGAAAAAATTTTCAGTTTTCCCTCTTCCCTTAAACCAACATTTCATCGAGGATATATGGAAATCAAAAACCAGACTTTTAAGTCATGGTTAGTATTTAAATGGCTTCTTTATTTAGTTGTAACATCAAACAGAACAAAAATACAAGAACATTACAACATAACAGTATATCATAACTGTGATGATGGGAAAGTATTCTTTTATATATCATTTTTAAAATTGTAATGTATGTTATAATATTGAGCAGTGCATTAAAGTTAACATACTTAGTAGCTAGTTACTCACATCACTGGTAGAAACATAACAGTGATATCTCCCCCCTGTCTGCTCTGCAAGTTCCTTCAGGAACATCTGAAACAAAAAGCATTATTCACTCAAGAAATTGGATCATATCACTTTATACTCTTATTAGGAGCACTATTTGAGTTTCAGGTGCTGAAAACCGAAAAAGAACTTGTTCTTTATAGTTTTTTTAGTGTACAAAACAAAACCATCACTACAAAAACACTAAAGGAAAGCCATGGAATCATGAAATGGATTTTTTAATTGAAATCCAACCCTGAGGACTAATTTCGCAGCATTAAAATCTCTTTTCAAAATCTAAATCCAGATTTCCCAAAGCACCATCAATATACATGTAACTAACAATTTTAAAAATATGCCAATATGGGCCCTTTGTACAGAATGGTCACATGGTACAAAAACACCTTGCAAGAGGGCAAACAATGCAGTGGGATCTTGAAAAGAAAGGATATTTTGACTGATGTAATCTATTTGTTTTTCTTGCCCAACAGCACTGCTTGCCATCCATCAAGGGGCATTGTTGTTCCAAGTGACCGTTTCTTTCAAGGGTTCATTAGAATACAGAAAAAAAAACTAACATGAGCCATCTTCTACCAAATTTTTCAAAGTGTCATTATCATGCCTTCAAATCTTAAAAAAAAAACTTATACAATGAAAAAGAAAACAGCTACAATTTTTACTCAAAAAAGTGCCAACTTTCAAATCGGCCCCACTCCAAAATAAGCATAACACATGAGAACAAAACATCCTCTCAGCACTTACTAATTTTTGATGCTAAAATGCTAAGAGCAAAAAGTTTTAATTTTTTTTTTGCTGTTGTTATTAATTTGAATCTTGACCTTGAATCTTAAATGGAGAAAAATTAATACTGGTGGTTTGGACTTGGTCCTTACATTAGTAGCTGAGATGCTGCAGTCATATGCTACAGTATGTAGGGGAGCATGTCTTCCAGCCAGTGACTCACGCACGTAATCACAAATCACTTTTGGATTCTGATCAGGACTGCAATTAATGGTAAAGACATGGTAAAAAAAATTATAATCACTGCACACCATTTTACAATAAAAATATTAATACTACTACATGACTNTTTTAATTTTTTTTTTGCTGTTGTTATTAATTTGAATCTTGACCTTGAATCTTAAATGGAGAAAAATTAATATTGGTGGTTTGGACTTGGTCCTTACATTAGTAGCTGAGATGCTGCAGTCATATGCTACAGTATGTAGGGGAGCATGTCTTCCAGCCAGTGACTCACGCACGTAATCACAAATCACTTTTGGATTCTGATCAGGACTGCAATTAATGGTAAAGACATGGTAAAAAAACTTATAATCACTGCACACCATTTTACAATAAAAATATTAATACTCCTACATGACTAAAGTTCATATACTGCAAACAGGAAAGTTTCACTTTCTGCAACAGAAGACAGCTGGGAGCTATGCATTATGTTATCAAAGTGTAGAAACTAATTATCATGTCACCATGAGGGGGAAAAATACACCACTCTAATTTAAGTTCCTGGAAAAAAATAATTAATGCAGACACCCCAAGCTTAAAGTCTGGGGTCTTACAAACCTTTAGTGTTATCACTGACATTATTCATATTCCTGTGCTGCTGCCTATTTTTGCAAAAACATTTTATAATGGGTCAAATTTTTTGGCTTTGATATTCTCCAGAATGAAATGGGTTCAAAAGGCAGCAAAAAGTCCTTTCAGGAATTGAATGGATGTGAATGAAAATGAAATGTACTTGCAGAAATCATGGCAAAGGCATCAACTGTGGCACATAACAAGTACTGCTTAACAAAATTAGAAGCCAACTCCACCTTCAGCAGAAGAGAAAGTAAAGCACATTCCTGCCCAATAATTTATAACTAGCTTGGAAAGGAAAAGAGAAACAAAAATGCTTGTTCCAGCTTTAATAGCCAATCTTTGATTTATTAAAATTCTAACATGACTGTGAGGCTTCCTTTGTTACGCAATTTCCAGAAGAGACTTGAGCACAAAGAAAATGAAAACAAATATAAAAGAATGACCAGAAAGCCTCAGAGTCATGCTGGAATTTTAATATATTGAACGTGGGCTATTCACCTGTCATTAGTCTCTCAAGTATTATTTTTAATTAATTAATTAATTTAATTTATTAATTTTGTTTGGCTGATTGAGAGAAGCCTCCTGCAAATGCAAACAACTGCATTAAGGAACAAATGATGGTAATATTCGTACCAGCTTCCTAACACAAGAACAATGGAGTCAATCTCTTTTCTTTTGATGACTTGCTTGAGTGCAGACAGCACATTACATCCACCTTGAGGACGTAAAGTTTTCACCCACCAATGAGATTCTTCAATTCTGAAAACAATGATCATAAATTATCATCATGTGATACTTCTTCTACAGTACAGTTGAAGCCCTCCATGTGACCACTCTTGTAACCAACCAGCCCTAGTTACAACAACCTTGGTGAAACCCTGTTTGAACTGCGACTTAAACTTCGTAATGAAAGCTCTTGTAAGTGACCACTTGAACCATTAGCAACTGCGACTACTTTGGGATAACCCAACTGGACTTTTCCTTTGTTTTGAGCTCTCATAAGCAATGAATCAGAGTCTTATTTATATATATAAACACTTGAATGAATTGCACACTGCACTAATGGTTCGTTAATAAAGATCTTGTACAGTGCAGTATTGTATTTGTCAAAGTACAAGGTCATTTCCGTAGTAACCACTTAGACGTAAAGTTTAGCTGTGGCTTTATCAAATATAAAGACACTACTTAAACATTAATTTCTTTATTTTTTCGAATAAGCGACCAACCTCTACCGTTTTACCATGCAGTCGCTTATGAGAGCTCATTCTTGTAAGGGACCACTTTTTCAAATTTCCAAGGAGGTCGTTTACGAGAGCTTCGACTGTATTTGAGATGTGCAGATTCATTAAAAAATATCATATCCATCAACCAGTGCCAAGACAACGATTTATTGTAAAAAAAGTCAAACATTTGGAAGGATGGGAATTGGGAAGTGGAATTCTTTACACTGTGAGCAGTCTCTTCTTTTCTTCAAAGTTACTAGGTTTTTTCCCTGCACAGTCTCTGTGACTGAGAACTTGACAGATCTAATAGACAAAGCAGACTGCAAGAAGTCTCGGAATTCTTAGAAAGAACTACAGCCAAACTCCAGGAAGCCATAAATTTTAAGATCTACATGTACATTTAAAAGAAAATGTGTTAAGAATTCGCTCAGCCACTTTTACTAAAGAACATTATAAATGCTTGCAGTTAGTGAAAAAAAAAAATTGTGTCTGACACATACATTCTAGACCCTTATTTTTTCATAAAATTGTCAGGATCGAGCACTTAATAGTATGGGCAGCCATCTTAGTTTCTCATGTATCAAGTGGGTGGGGAAACTGACACCACCCCCTATAAAGTAGATTTGACACTCCTTGCATCCAAGATGGCCGTCCATGATGCAAAGCGCTTAATCTCAACGATCTTAAGGAAAAATGGGGGACTGTGAACAGTCTACATACATTCGGCAGTTAACATCCCTGACAACTGTCCACAATGACTTAGGCTGGGTTCCAAAGGAAACCATATATAACCTCTCCTTATTTGATAATTGCTCATCAATAAGTTCCTATAATTTAAAGATATAGAATTTCCACAGAATGAACAGAAATTCTTATATGATTTAAACACACAGAATGAAAAGGAAGATAATATTATATAATTCTACCGATAGAGACTCTTGAAACAGTTGCAATCTTCCGTATCCGCAGTTAGAATCTGATGCATCAACAAGTAGTGCTACATTTTGTCCTTTCACCAGACCAAATGCCTGTATTTTATAGACAAAAAAGAACTTTAAATATTAAATAATAAATATTTAGTGAGTTAACCTCTGAGTGTTTCAGAGACAAGGATCCTAAAATATCAAATTACCTACCCTTTTGCTTCCCTTTAAAAGCCAATTAATTCTCTGCTGGCATAACTGAATAAGACTGCATAAAAAATGAGACAATAATAGAGAACAAAAATCACACCAATCAGTTGTAGTTACCTTTTACTCGTACAATAAAAATTAATTATTTTTTACATCTACCTCTTCATTTTACATGTGATACCTCAAGTATTAAAAGAACTACGAAACTAATATTTCAGCCCTACTCTACCAAGGCTACCTACCAATACTTACTTAGTGACCTTAAATTCATAATCCTGTAGTTTTACTGCATCATATTTCATGTGAGGTTTACTGGGATCTTCACCAGATGGAGGTCTAATAATAAAATAAAAACAAATAAAAACAAAATGATTTGTACCCCTTTACATCTAACTGCAAAAATAATTACAACCAAGACAAAAAATTCATAATATTAATATTTTAAAAAAAGAAATTATAACCTTCTCATTCTGTTATGAAATGACATGTACTTTAAATTAATTATTTGAAAGCAAATCCCTTTCAGAATCAGTCACTAGTATATTAATTAGTAAATATTGTACAAAATATAATATAGACTTTTAAAATGCTTTTAAAGTAGCCAGAAGCATGAAAACGTGAGCATAGAGCCATTGAACTAGTGCAATACAAGCACTGGCACATGCAATCTGCTAAGTTAACAATACAACAACAAACTGCTAACTTTTACATATTGGCCTAAGGATGCTGGCAAAAAATATCGATTATTATAATTTGTTTTAGAAATCTATGCAGTACTTACTTGATGGGAATTCCACATTTCATAATCTCCTCAAATGAAAGACCTCCAGCCTTAACACTATGGGTTCCCAGCCAATCAGATGATGACTGACCTTCGGCATGTGCAGCTTCAAGCCCAATAACAGCCTGAAAAATAATTTGTTCATTATCATTAAATATTCTACTATTAACATGATTTTTTTTTGCATCTTAATTTCTGTCAATGTCAATTTAAATCACACTATTTTACATCATAATTGTAACACATTGTGATTTTCAATGTTCACTACTACCAACAATTAAAAAAATATTATGACCAGTAAAACTCAATCAAACCAAAAAGCAATTACGAATGGATAGAAAAAGCAAAGAAATTAATTTAACTAAACCAACACCACAAGTCAAAACAAGTACTTTCCCTGTAATATCATATTTGAAAGACCATTAATATTCCTCATGAACAGAAACACCTTACGTTTTTAAGTAATGTAGCATAATTAACAATTGTTCCTCGAACCCGAATGGGGTCTGAGTCAATAGCCCATGAGGCCAAAGGAGGAGGAATAGTTGGATTTTACTAAAACAATTATTGTTTTAGTAAAATCCAACTAGTTGGTAAAAATATCGAGACAAAACAACTTTAGCTGGAAAAATGCGATTCAGCCATCATTGCTTTGGTTTTCAAAGCCGCCGCTTTTCGCTACTAGTGGGCTATAACATATAGCCTAGTAGTAGCTAAACCAATCAGAACACAACATTGATAATAGACCACTAGTTGGATTTTACCATAGCATCTCGTATAAACTTTTTAAAAAGCCCTAAGAACAATCATTATCAAATTCCTCTTTGTCATAACAATGTTTTTTAAGACAGAGTAAAAAAAAGGGAGATAGAAGGTATTGAACCCAGTCCCTTCGGTTCCAAAGGTCATGCATTACTGCAAGTATCAGAACAATAGAAATGACCTTATCATCATTTATTGTAATGCCGACGATAGCATAAACCTTTCTGGCTATAAGCCAGTAAGCTAAAAGAGGTAAAACTTGTTAACTATATGCATCCTTTCACAAAAATATGATGGAATATAGTCAGTAAAAAGATTTAAAATACTGTATGTTCAATAATTTACCTCACAATCTTCATTCAAGCCTTCACTCAAAGAAACATTTGATAAATACTTTTCTTCTACCATATTTGCCAAGATTTTCAAAAAAATATCTTTCCAATATTCACTGATTTCCTTTTCATTAATACAGAATACAGGAGGTATAGGCTCTAATATAAACCAACACATAAGCCTTGGCGTATACACATTTAAAATTAAAGCAACTTCTACTTCTTGGTAACCTGGATACATTATGATGAGCAGGTGACAATTACAATAATTTATTAATGAGTTAATCATGAAAATTAGTTTGGGGCTTCTAGTGCTGTTTAAAATACAATCTAGCAGACACTAATAGATAGTTTTAAATACATCCATATTCCTAATCAATATAATTGTCATAAAACTGCAAAATATTTTTTTAATGCATACTTATAAAAAATTATATTTTCCTAATTATATCAGCAGCTGGGGGTCACTGAATATTAGTCCACAAAACACTTTTCACAACTAAACAAAAGCAGTAGTTAGATCAAAGATAAAAACATCCATCATTAATTTATTATTTGATTTGCAGAACATTTCATATTTATAACATTTTATTGCATTAAAGCAAACATGAAAGGTTTCATCGGTAGTACAATTTGAATTTGCATTACTACAAAAGGTGATCATTTTAATTGCTCCCTAATATGGAGGTGACTTCAAGATGGACCACCACACAGTGTGTAGGTTCTTTAATTAATATCCCATAAAACTTAATCTTTTCTTGTCCTTATCCAAGAAGACTAGAAAGTCTACCCATTTGTAGATGTCATTACAGTGGAACCCTGCTATAACGAAGGCCTAAGGGACCGGTAAAATTTGTTCCTATAACAAGGTTTTGTTATTTTGAGGTTCTTTTTTATATTTTTACTATTACACTATTTATACTGGATTAAAAAAAATTGAGCATTATACCAAGGATTTTGTAATAATAGTGGTTCATTATATCAGGGTTCCACTGCACAAAGATAGCTCCTCAGTTATTTGAAGACCGCCTGAGTGTTGGTCCAACCAGGGTTTGAACCTTTAGCCTGGAGACCAGCTGGCAGACCAGCACTTATCCAATTAATCTCAAGGCACCAGGTGATTTTAATTTTATTGTTATATCCAGTAAGATTTCCATATAAACCCCGTAAATTTATTATGCATGCAGCCATTTCACACTTTTTCTTAAAAACGTTAATATGAATACAGTCGAAACATACATGCATAATAAATGTACACTTACTTCAGGGATATATGGAAATCATACCTTATTTCCAACTAAAGCTTCGCAGCTCAGTTTATTACCTGCAGGTCATGAGACTGAGTTACTGAGGTAACAGTCAGTGCTCTGGGAGGAAGAGCGTCGTTTGTCTTCAGCATTTGCCAAGGGGGGCGTACTACTTCTGTCCTTGCGATTGTCTCATCAGCAAAACTGCTTGCACCATCACGGTTCCTCACCTTTTGTCTTGAAGCAACAGGAGGTTTACTTCTGGTTGAACTTAGTAAAAGAACATGAAGTGGAAGGATTTTATATGTTTGTCTCTTACAAATGGCAAATTATGGGGTCTTTCTGCAGGTACTGTCATCACAAAAGAAACAAAGGGACCAAACAATAGAGAGGCTTTATTGTTTGGTTGTATTGTTTCTTTTGCTGTAAGTAATCCATGCATCAGTACCTGCGAAGGAACCAAATTATGGAAGAACATGGAAACACTAAGGGTACTTACCATTTACATGGAAACAACGGAAATTCAAATGGTTCGCGCCGTTCCGTTCAGGAAGCTTCAGAAAATATGGGTCGTGATTCGAGGCGATGCAATTTTATACTATTTTTAGTCTGTTAAGCTGATTTGGATATACTTTGTAACGGATCGTTCTCAGTTCTTCCACCACGTCAAACTTTATAGTTTAATTTTTATGCAAAAGATTTCTACCCGGGTGGTTTGTGTAAATGGCGAGCATGCTAAGTCAAAATTCCGAGATATTCTATCACTTAAATTGAACTTTTTCTTGGAAAGTCAGTTATAATCCCCTCAGGAGGAATAGCATATTATTCACACAGCATTCCCAGAAATAAAAGAAGAAGGTGAAGAAGCTAAAGGGCAAACTCTAACCATAACAATAATAATATTTCGCCATTTTAAATAGGACTGTTTCAATACCTCTCAATTGAAGATTTCCGTTTGATTTCAATATCGGAGTGCGTAATGCTCCAGGGTCTTTCAGAAGGCCTATGAAACGATACACAAGCACACTGCAATAAACCCTACAAAAAACGGTAGGATTTGAATGTTAAGCAAAAAAATTCTTACGCCTTTTCCTGGAGGGATGCAGCCTCCAAAGCGGTCGGTTCATTGACATCTTCGCTGTCCGATTCTGAAGATGAACTGGAAGAGCTTGACGAGCTCTTAGATATGGACAAAGTCTTCTTCAAGCGTTTCTTCCACTTTTCCATTATTCGATAAAAAGTCAAAGTAGAGTCTAAATTTGTTTATCGAATTCCTAAATAACCCTGAACGCCATTTTGTGGAACTTCCAGAACACTGCACGTTGCCTTGGCGCCGAGTCTCAGAGGGATTACCGCTGGCCGATAAGTGCTGATTCTTTGCGCGCAAAGCGCGCTAAACCAAAAAAATGTTGTGTTTATGTTTATTGGTTTGACTATATTATTCATTTGTTTATATAAAAAGGCTGTCACAAACTGTCGACCTTTTATAAACTGCATTTAAAAGAATTACTGAGAAAAACTGTATATTATTTTTGGATTCACATGGTTTCTTAGCGTTGATTTCTGCACAAGTTATTTATTAAAATCAAATGGGTTTAAAGTTTTAAATTGCGGACAAACCGAAAGTGTGGTACAATTAGGAACTCTTATTCCTTGCCGATTTTCCATGATAAAAAAGGTCATAAAATCAGAGAGAAAAACAATCGATTTTGAGGTATCTGAGAAATAGATCCTACGTCCCTTGTTTAGATTTTAATTTAGCTTTATAGTTCTCCGAGGATTTGTGACAGTTTAAGTCTCTTTTGTCTTTGCGGTTATCGATCTTTATAAACACCAATGGGGCAGAAATTTCATAAATATTGAATTGTCCCACAACCAATGATAGAAGTGACTATACAAACAGCAATCTAAAATGTCTTTTGCTTGTCAATCAACTTCGGCTGCTATGAGTACACAACTTCCGAGACAATATTAAGCGAGTACAGTGCTTCTATGACCATCATCTAGAACTTGAAAACTCTTAGAAACCTCCATTCAGGGCATAGGTTTTTAAATGGCTTTCGGCACGCATGGATGACATCATTCAGGGGCAGGAGCCGCAAGGTTTGTTCTCGAAGCGATCGTCGTCTAACATCTTGTCTGATCCACGTATCTTAGCGCACTTAAGGATAGTTGCCGAAGAAGCTCAAAGCTCTGATAAGGACCAAGATGAAGAATCCGAGTTACAGAACACAAAAAGAGAGCTCGGACTCAAGATTTCGGCATACAACAAGGGTAACCAACATGGAGCTTTTCGGTTGATATTGAAAGAGGTACGTAAGTGTTTTATCACGAAATATATTGTCGAAGGAATGCGCGGTTATTTGTCGTATGTTAATCATTTATACTACAACGTGCACCTTGTCGCCCGCCCGTGCCGCATTTAAAAATTGACAACAGTAACTTCCCAGTTAGGCATTAGGGGTTATTACAGTCAATGATCATCGCATTATTTCGCTGCACTTGTCGCTCAGTAGTTTAATTTTACGGATCGTGGAATCCTATTCAAGAGTGAAATGTCACAACAGAGTCTTTAAAGCCGTCAAGCGTGAAAAGGTAGAACTGCTTTTCGTAAATCAAATTAGAACTGGAGGATAAAAGTCATTTGGAATCGATTACTTCACGTGTGACGTTCTCTAGATAATATTTCGAACACATGACCATATACTAATTGGGTTTGTATCTTCTTTCACTTCTAGGACCTGGGCTTCGAAGGTGCGTTACGCTTCTACTTCGAAGACGGCAAAGAAGAATTGACAAAAGCTTTACGCCTGACAAACAAAACATTAGTTTCGGAGTTGCTCCCGACACTGATTGAAAAGTTTAAGCCCGATTTGGTGAATTCCTCGGTTGAGAAAAAGGCCAAACTTTACGAAGTCTACGAAGAAGGTACCGTAATGTTTGATGTTTTATTTAATAAACATTCACGGAGCAGACTATGGCAAGCAAACACTGTCACTTGTGTATGGCGAAAAGATCGAGGACCCAAAAGTATTTTTTCAACAATTGTGGTTTGAGATTTACCTTAGAAGTTATTTTGTTTGGCACAAACTCGAAATTAACTTGGGAAAAATTTATTTATCAAATTCACGAATTTATTTATCAGATAAATGAATTAAAAGTTATAAAGCTCATGGTGGGGCTTTATAGTTAACAAATCAAATCAATTTTTCACACGAAATTAAAGTTTGTGGTGATTATTATTCTGTAGCTTTGGTTAAGTTTACTTTGAGTCCATTCCTGACATAGCACAGTTGACAATCTTTACTATGCTTTTGTGTATTCGGACACGTAAAAGGAAATGTTTGAAATTTTGGCGACGAGAGTCTTTGCATTTCAAACAGATCCGCTAAATCACAGAAAAGGAACTAAACGCCAGCATGACTGTGCTCTGCGTGTGTCATTGTAAGGCTGTAATTGAGAGTTGATGGGCGCACTAATAGTTTACAGTTAGTACATAGCACATTCGAGAGCAGTTAATTGGATTCTTGTAGTAAATAAATTTGACTTGGAACGGTATTTAATTTCTTTTATACAGTTTATAATGTATCTTTCTCTCTTATAGTGAAGTTTTTCTAAAGATTTTAACTTCCACATCAAAGAACATAAACATTAAATGTAATCTGGATGCTTTTACAACGAGATGAAATCATTTTAAGACAAATCACGCTCGAAAACTCTCTCATCCTTACACTTATTTACAAAAAACCGTACAATCTGCCACACAAAAGGTCAAATTTTAATAATTTCACTGATAAACTTAAGATCATCAGAATTTTCCACATGCCTACACAGTGATACGACCCAGATGCTTATGCTGATAATCACAATATTTTTACAGAGATTTTATATATTACCTTAACCAAAGCTGCTACTACATACAGAAACTATTTTCCTCATTTCTTTGATTTCCTGCTTTTAAACTTAAAATAAAAGACCAGTTGGTCAGGTTGTCTATGGTAGTGAAAGTTTGTCATAATAAATAAAATCTCTGGTGTGCTTATTGTGTTTAAAATAGTTGTTTTGTAAAAACGTATTAGATAAACAAAACAAACATCAAATCAATGCTGTTTCACTGATGTCCCTCAATGTCAGTAAATCACTACTCGAAATCCATTGTTGCCCATCAATATCAATGCATTTTCAAACACTAAGATTGCAGGCATAATGGGATATTCTAAGCCAGGCAGTATTGACCAACCATATAAAGTTATAATTTTTTTAATACATTATATTAGAAGTTGGGGATATGTACAAAGTAATAAATTACCTTGATGAAACGCACAGGGATTTTATAATATATCAGTTAAGGAAATTTGAATGAGTTGTTACATCAAGATTATCTGGATCAATATTATGGGAGAATGGGATTTCCTAAACCAGTTAATGGTCTCTGAATTGCAGAGACCATTTAGATTTTAACAAAAATGGACTACCCTTACCCCTAACCTTATCCTTACCCCTACCCAGTCAAACACTGCAATTTTGAGAAATTGTTAGCTAGTGATCATGAAGTAATTGATTCAATACTATCAGACTAATTTCCTTTACTCCAAGAAGTTTGTAAAATCAAGATTCCAATGTAGTTATTGTCAGTTTTTTAAAGAACACTTGAATCATGTTACCTAATCACTGAATAAGTATAAACTAAAGTTCTTTGATTCTAGTAGTCAATCTTGCTGGTTTTAAGAAAAATGTACCTCAGTGAAGGGAAAGTAAGCTATGGACTACCACAGTATCCTAACTGTTGTTTGGTAACAATGGGCTATTGTTAACAACAATCTTCAGGGTATTTTACGTTACGAGGGATTTGTTAATCTTTGTTGAGTCTGTATGTGCAAAAAGTATTTGAGTGTATGAGAGTGGCTAGTTTAGCCAATTACAGATCAAATTTCTGTTCTCTTGCAGATGAAATTTGTTTAGATCCCTCTGATGCCCCTCTTGAAATTGCATTAAATGCCAAAAAGCCTCCAAGATTTGTTCTACGACTGGATATAAAGAAACCCCCTGAGACAGCAGTTTTGATCAATGGCACAGACAGCACAAGTAAGACAGTAATACCAAATGGAACAGCCTTGAACAATCCTGATGCAAAATCCGTTCATCCAATTCCAAGCCCGAGTCCAAGTCCATCAAAAGCAAGTGTTCGAAGCACTGGTAGTGATAACAGCTCTACGGGTAGTTCTGCTGGTCAGGCTTATAGTGCAAGAAATGATAATCCGTCCCCATTCCCTGTCAGAAATCCATTTACAAAGCCAAAATCTCCACCACAGGTTGCTAAGGCAGTAGAGGATAAAATGCCTTCCTCATCAAGAGGTCAAAATGTTAGAAACTTTTTAAGTTCCCCTAGAAAGGGTTTTGGGATGTTTTTTGATGGATCTGGAAATCAGACAGATCAAAGTTCGCATGCTGCACAAAAAGCGGCCCGCACCAAGCACAAGAGGAAAGGATCTTTGGGTCGTATGAAAGTCAAGAAAAAAGATGCTGAAAATGCTCATACTGAACTGTCTACAGAGCAGTTGGCACCTGGCATTCTCAAAGTTTTTGGAGACCATGTTTCACCAGGTTCAAATTACAAAAGTGTAAGAGCTACAGAGATGACTACTGCTGATGAAATTGTTCAGCAGGCTCTTGAGAGATACTCACTGACAACAGAAAAGGCCTCAGATTATGTCCTTTGTGATGTGATTGGTTACTTTACGAAGAGAATTGGTAGCATGAATGCTAAAAATTCTCAGGAAGATGCTGATAAATGGGAAACTGAGTATGCCCGGGTCATCAGTGATAAGGAAAAGCCACTTGTGCTTCAGCAGTTGTGGAAGCCAATAGCAGGATTTTCCCGCAGATTTGAATTAAGAAAGCGAGCTGAAACTCAAGATTCCTCATTCTTTAAGCCACGTGGAAGTGTTGCTGTGATACGAGCTGCTTCCAGACGTGAAGCTCCTGTTCCAGCGAGTAACAAAGAGAGTCGTAGAGACACAGGAGCAAGTGACATGTCACAGACTTCATCGATTGGAGATCATTTTTCAAGCATGAGTGCAGAAGAAGGAGGAAGTTCTGGAAGAGCCTCCTTAATTCAATCATCATTCACTGCACCTATGGACACACCTTATCTTCTTCTTCTGAAAGGTTCTAGTAATCACGATGACTTCCTGTACCACAGACTAGATGAGCAGTTAGCATTGGTTGGTCGTCCTGTTCATCATATCACCGACCAATCACCTGACATTCTTCTTTTTGCCCCTGATGTTTTACCTCAGCATTGTACCTTAAGTAAGAACATTGAGACATCAGCTCCCAGATTTGAGCACCAAGACTACAATGTAAATTTTGCTATTTATCTGGAACCTTGCCGAGGTGCTGATGTCTGTGTCAATGGTCTGCCAGTTACGTCTAGTTCTAAACTTCACCCTGGAGACTTAGTATCATTTGGAAAGCATTACTTGTTCATGTATAAGGATCCCTTGCAAGTGGCCGACACATCAATGAAATTAACTTGGTTTAATAACTTGAAGCAGTTTTACAAGTGGCAAATGTCTGGATCAAAATCAAACACACCTGATTCTAGTGCAATAAATCCTGCAGACATTCCAGACGAACCTAGCAAAAAATTAAGATTGTCATATCAACCACAAGATGAAGATGACCTGGTAGACATGATAATGGAAATTGTAGATTTGTCAAGTGATAGCTACAAGTTGACTCCATCATATTTATTAATTATGTGCATAGAACATTCTGCAAGATATCACACTGAACAACAAACAAGGCAACTTCTCATCAAGATTTCAAATGCAATTCAAACAGTTGCATCTGTAAGTTGTTCACCATGATTCTTTTCTTTCAAATGTCCTATCCCATTTCATGACTAAATTGCATCAAAGAGATTTTCTTTAAACATTGGGATTTTCTTGTTTAAAAATAATTATGCTGCTGTTTCCTTTACTTTTATATAGACATGTGAAAATCACCAAATAAATATAAAATTAAAAGCAATGATTATTTCAGTGATTGATTAGTCACTGAATGACCGGATAAACTAATTGGGCACAAATGGAGATGCACCTTGAGTGAGCAACCTCTTGCAAGGTGCTTCCGTTCATTGTTAACATTCAAATTATCTGTTTTTGTGATACAGCAGAGATTGATCTCTCTCTGTTACCTTGACTAGTGTTTTAAGGTTGTCCCTAGCCAAAGTAGACAGTGGCTTAAAAAAAGAGTAGATTTTCCAACCAAACTTGAGATATTTTTCGTCTAGGGCAAGCTGGCTAACCTAACAATGCAACCTTATTGTAAGGGGTGCCTGCCTCCAAGAGTTTGACAGAGGATTTTCCCTTGGGTTTTGGATTTAGTCTTCTTCAAGGTATCCCTAAAGGCTTTAAAGCGAAGCAAATGTTGAGTTATAAAACACTAGAATATCTGTTCAAGATGCCACCCTCTATAAATTTGAGACATTATGTTGCTATTATAAAACTGTCTTTCTGCCTTGTTGTAGGATAAGACAGCAGAAATGTCCAAAACAATTGAAAGGTAAGGGATTATTAAATTATTGTATAAATCAATTATTATCATATTAAGTTTAAAAATCATTGTTTTACTCCTTAAAAATGCCTTTATTAAAGCTCTTTCATTTGCCATCTGTTTGTAATCAGTTTTATTCCTTGTGAACTGCAAAGTCATTTGTTGTAAGCTACAATAGCTAGTGATTATTTTTGGCCATTTATTTTTCCTTGCTTAAAGAAAGTGTCATTATCATTCATGTATTAAGGTATGTGAGTTCATCTTTGACAGAACAACAGTTCCAGAGAAAGCTTTAGAAGAACTTTTACCCCAGCTTAGACCAGTGGTGTTTTGGATGGCTAACTGTTTGGAAATGCTGCCATTCCTTCAGCGTAATATGTCACAGTACATCAAAGATCCTTCTGAAAATGCCCTTCAATGGGATGAAGCTTTACTCAATGCTGATGAGGAACTGCTGATGTTTCTTGAAGAAGTTGTCATTTATACCTTTCAGCAGACTGTATATCATCTCACTAAGGTACTTAAAGTAAATTTTATATCCCTTTGGATCGCGGAAGTGACCACTTGCAAAGATTTTATACTTCACTTGGCGAACACTTTGATTCTACCTCAATTAATTAATGTTGACTAGTTAAAGAGAATTCAAATTCACTCATATAGCCATTAAAAGCAAGATGAACTAAATTATTCTTTTTGCCATCCCTTTTTTATTTGAGTCATTTTCCTTTTTTGCACAGTTGCACAGATATGATTATTTTTTGGTTTACCATTAAATCAAGGTTATAATCTTGGCGGATCATGGGCAATGCAAACTATAAACTCATCTGAACTGATGGGAAATATTTTGTAGGTCAAAATGAAATTCAGGTTAAATTTTTTTTACCAAGATTGATTCTCAATTTGCCTTGTCTTTTAGCCCCAGGACCAATGAACAAAGGAAATTAAGATCAACCTCGGTTTCATCTATAACAAACTCATATGGTCGTGACCAAGTGAGGGTATATATCATTCCAGTTAGTTTTCTGTGAAATGAAAAAAAAAACTGATGCCTTCTTTCAGCTGATCAATAACAAGTTCTGATCATTTATCTCTTACATTCTCAACAGTTGTTTATTCCAAATTGTAGGAAACCAACTTTATAAAACTGTGAGTAAGTGTGCTTTGAAAATCAGTGTGCAAGGATTTTTTGTTTAACAGACCTTTTAGAACATGCATATTATTGGTAAAGTTGCGGAACGTTTTTGTGATACTGCCCTGATGTGCTCATAAAGCATTATATAAATTTCATTTTAAGCACAAAGTACAAAGTAATGTTTACATTATTAAAAAGCGACTTTGATCGTTGGCAATATGTGTGCCTAAACATGTCATCGTCATAGCTATCACACGTGTTTATAACTTGGCACATCGTAGCCATTATGGAGCCTTCAGATGAACCGAATTCGCATAAGCCTCTTATCACAACATATATCTTTACAAAAAAAACAACAACACATTTTTATTGAAAGTTAACTATAAGCTTAAGTAATTGCATAATCTTCCCACCCGCAAATAGCCTAGGGACTAATGGGGAGATGTATCGAGTAGAGTGACAATGGGGACACTTGCAAATGTATAAAACAAATTTGTTAATACACGGGGGGCTTCTATATAATCGTCTTGAGATTGCAAAATAAAGAAGTAAATCCTTAATCTTTTTTGCTAAAAGGTGATCGCTCTAGCGCTCTATGGAATAAAGAATAGAGTTCCAAATTTGAGAATCGATTCTACTGATATTTTATGGACATTTTATGTGCAGTACACTTGTGACGGTAAAATTTTTACATAGTGAGTTAGGGTCTGTTTTGCATTTTGTTCTTGTTGCTGACAAAAATGGAAAAGAAAGTGAAGTCATGAGGACTGTGTTGAACGCCCGAATTGCATGTAAAGAGTGGTGTTTTTAAAGTCTTACCTTTTTAGTGCTTACGGTGAATTTCTTGGTTTGTCAGGTTTTGTACATTGCTCTTCCAGCCATCTTGGATACCAACCCATTCCAGGACACAGACGAGGATAGCGACAAGAAACCACAAGAAGTAGAAACAGTCATTAGCATCTTTCAAACTACGTACGATGTCGTGAAAGCTTATTCTGTCCACGATGACATAATTCACCAACTTTTCGCTTACCTGTTCTTCTTCACAAATGCTTCCCTTTTTAACACGCTGATGGAGCGAGGGGCTGGGGGCAAGTTCTACCGCTGGGCGAAAGGAGCGCAGATACGAGGCAATCTGGATTTGTTGGAGAGCTGGGCGGCGCAAGTGCAACTTCAAGACGAGGCTACTGAGTATTTGAACAGACTTTCTACTGCAGCGGATTTGTTGGCCACGCCCAAAGTACAACTTTTACAGGTTAGTGCCTTGTCACGTTTGCCAAGTGAGACTGTATTAACATTGGGAGCCTTAAGATCTGAGGACGGCGACGGCGGCCAAAACGTTTCTGAAAAAGTGAATTCGCATCCTTTTTCCATATCTTAATCGCGATTACTCCAACCCACTTACTTTGTCAAATGTAGGCAAACCCTCCTGAAGTTGTCTTAAGAACCATATCCAAGTTCAGAAAGAGAGAAAATTTCGTCGTTCCTTGTTTTAATTACGCCCATTACATGAAACGTGAAATTAGGCATTTTCACGTCGTAATCGTGCAGTGAATGCAGAGAAATGAACAAAAAAGATTGAATGTTGTTTAGCTTGTCTAAAGCTATTGTCGTGAACCGACCGGTTTGCCCGTACGTGTAATTGGTAAACGACCTTTATGCCCTGAGCTTGGCATGTTCAAACAAAAATAACTACAGGTCCAGTTTTTTTTTTTCTTTTCTGAAAAAAAAATTGTTTAACGTGTTTGTAGGCTGACTGGATGACAATACGGCGGGACTTCCCAGCACTTAACCCTGCTCAAGTTCAACAAATCCTTGGCGAATATCAACTTGGTCCAGGCAAGTCTCGACCAAGGGGCTGGTTCCCACCGCCGGAGGAAGTAGAACCAGCACTAAGAACAGGTAGGTTAAACCAGCGGTGGTGGGCGGTTAGGTATGCCTACCGTGGTTAAAGCAATTTCCTGCGCTATTTCGGGTTATGTTTATACATATAAGGTAAGCACTGAAACTCAAGTTTGTTTTCTGTCTTACTCGCCGAGTGCCTTTTTCGGGAGAAATTTCATATCCGCTCTTTTGATTGGCCGTTTTTGTCTTGAAACTCAGTAACCCGAGCGAGAGACTCAGTAACCCGCGATAAAAATCTCGGTAGCTGTGGCAACGCGGTGGCTTATTTTTTTACATTTTCATGCTTTGTTGTTGTTTACAGCGGACATCCTTCTGAGTTTTTCGGAGCATCCTCCGCTAAAACTACCAGCTGCGGGGTTTGTTTTGGACTTGGAAAATGGGCCGACGGATCAGTCATTCGACGACTACCTTGAAGCCATCAAAAAGGCGATCAATCCAGGTAATGACCGTTTTTATGCTAGAGACGTTAAAGTCGTCTTAAGGCTAACGTCTAGTATAAAGACGGTAAATAAGGCTGACGACTTTAACGTCTTCTAAGTGCGTCCGAACGACGCACTTAACAGACGACTTTAACGTCTCAGACGTTAAATGCGTCTAGACGACTTTAACGAATCAAAACGAAATACATCAGTCTTCTACTTGCACTTTAAACAGTGTTAGGCAGTGGAACCTCGATTTAACGAACCCCTATAACGAAGTCCTCGGTATAACAAACGATTTTCTTCAGCCCGGCCAAAATTACAGTACAGTGGAACCTCGATATAACGAATATATAAACCAAGGGACTGGCAAAATTTGTTCGCTGTACCGAGGTTTCGTTATATCGAGGTCCTTTTTCATATATTTTACTATTACTGGGGTAAAGAAAATTGTTAGTTATACCGAGGACTTCGTTATATCGAGGTTCCACTGTAAAATGTAAGGAACGGAACCTCGATTTTACGAAATCCTCGTTTTATTAAACGAATACAGTATATCCACAAGCGCAAACATAAAATATGAAACCTATTAAATCCTCTTTCAAATTTGAGCGATAAGTGAAGCAGTCGCACAAACAAATTAAATACCAAGAAAGCGACGAACTTTAGCTTGTCGGTCCTTGGCTATGCACTGTTTTGCGTGCCAAGATGGCGTCTCGTTTCACGACATTTTCTAAAGTTGAAATTTGATTGATAAAATTTATGTGTACAGTAGTTAAGCAGTTTTGTTTGCTTGTTTTTGAGTTTCTAGTGCCGTAGCTATATATAGCTCGGTACTGAAATGTTATTGCAGTAATTTTTCAGATCAGGAAATGGTCGGTTTTGTAAATTAATTGCGGGCGACAAGAGGAGCCCGCAATCCTAATCTCCAGGTTGTTATTACGCAGGTGTCTCATGTATGTAGCCAGTATTCGTCTGAACTTCCAGTCTTCCACTAAGAATGAATGGCATGCAGAGAACGCAATTTGATCACGCCCGTTTGGACCTTCTATCACTCGTAATCCGATCACGCGTGTTTTGATTATCTGTCACGTGAAACTTGCGCAAAGCATAGCGATGGAGCAAAAGCATTTTGTCCTTCGATCGTTGTCGCCCGCACTGCGTAACCTTTGGTTATTACTAGTTGTTAACTATACGTCGATATAACGAACGTTTTGGTGGTTTTCCCGAAAATTCGCTAAATGGAGGTGTTCGATATAACGAACCCTCAATACAACGAACCAATTTCCCCAGTCTCTTGGCACTTTGTTAAATCGAGGTGCCATTGTAGGAAGGTATAATCAGCTGAGCTACAAAGAAGGGATACTTAGGGATTGCCCAAAATAAATAGTCCCCTTTTGGAAACTAATTTTTCCGGCTCTGTCGGTAGACTTCATTGAAACTAGCGGTTCGAACTCTTTGAATTCCTTTATCTGACTGATCCGTTTTCGTCTTCAAACTGAATAATTTTCAGGGCATGGTACAACAGAAGCAGACGTGTCAAGAGTTAATGGATTAAACAGGTTAGTAAAATCTTAATGAGGGAAGAAAGGACTATTGATATCAAGTTAGCGTTACTGAACAAAAGTGAAGCCTCCACGAGGAAAATCTAGACGATTTTACCGCGTGTACGTGTTGTTCGTGCAGTTAAACTGCTTTTGAAAGAAAAATATCACAACATATTAAAATGAAACATCCCTGGGACTATAAAAAGCTTAAAATCTGTTGCCTCAAAACAACGATATGCGTTTGGTAATTGATCGAACACGAGCAAAACCAGCCAACTAACTGAAAAAAAGTAGTTTCACTTGTTTCGCAGTAGGGCATCCTTCATTTTCGAGGCAATGAGGTTGTCTTCTTTTGGGGATATTTTTTGGAAAACAAAAAAAAACACATGGAAGAACTGCTTTATTCACCATATATAAGCTAATTTGGTTGTGACTAGAATGGACACCCCAAAATCAGGTTGTCATATTTACTCAAATACTTGTCAGGAGCCGGTTAATTTTAACGTACTTTACATGGCATTGATCATTATCAAATCATTATGGCATTGATCATTATCATTATCAAAGCTAACCGTTTTTAAGAGAGTGCTTAACCCTAATCACTGTACTTCGGTGCTAAACCCTGTATTCCACCCTTTTCCCTGCACAACAGTCTCTAACTCTGATTTCTCCACTTTTCTCGAATATGTTTCTCTACGAGGTGTATATCGTCGGGTAATAAACATAAGCTGTCCAACCAGGTTTTAAGGGAACCATTGTAGTTACAACCTATATAATTTCGGTGAGTGCAAACAGCAGTTTTTGTCAAATGGAAGGCTTAGTCTCACCCTTCAACTGAATGTGTATTCGTATAAAATCTTTGCAGAGTTCAGCAACCAGAACCGGAAGTTAGTCACTCGGAAGTAATTCAAACGTCATCGCTTTCTCAGAATGCAGATCACGTGCCAGATTTAGTGGTCTCCGCCCCAGCCTCCCCTAAATACACTACACCAGAGGAATACGTTTTTGAGACCGTCGTGTCTGATTCTTCTGCGCTGACAAAAGGTGTGTACATTACTTGAAGTTCAGATAGCATCTTATTTAGCGCTGCTGTGAAGTGTGGTCCCGCGCGTGTGCAGACGCCTACCATTTTCCTCTGCTTTACCGCCTGAAGCAGAGGAAAACGAAGAAAAAATGAACGGACCCAAATCGAATCTCTCAAAGCTAGCGGCTGAATTCTGTGATGGTGCGTCAGCTTATAAGGGCGAACTTTGCTGCCGTTTCTGTCTATGTATGATCTCATCTCTCCCACTCAGACCAAAGATAGCATAAGTCAGATAGACCATGGCCCCGTGGCCTACGTCCCCTACTCTTTTCGAACAATGTCTTGGATTTGTTCCTTTACGTCCCCAATTAACTAACTGATACGAACGATAAAGGAGACGAGGCCAACGGCTTAACGTCATTGATCATCTGAACTGAGAAAGGTTTCTATCTTACCCATTTTGGTTGGTTGGTTGGTATTCTGGCCGGGGTTTGCGCTCCCCCGCGCTTCTTAACTCTCTTAGGGCATGAATGAAAGTTCCTTTTAATAAACCCTAGTGAGCTATTAGCTTTGTTCTTGACATGCAGGTTATGTTCCTTCCAGTTCAGAGACTTAGACAGGGTAACACCTAATTAGGGTTGATGATCCACTGCCTCCAGGGTTCACGTAGCATAGTAGAAAGGATACAAACGCGCGTGGCTTTTGGTTGGTTAAGCGAACGCTCGGGTGAAAAATCGTCATGCCCGAGAACTTTCTAGAAATCAATCGATACTTCGCTCTGACGTCATACTATAACACGATTGGCCAATCGAACAATGCTCTCTCCATATTAGGGTTTTCTTTGGCGGGAAAACGAAGAGGGCATGTTTTGATCTTTTCGTCCATTGGCTGATAAAACAAATAACGAACACTTTACTTACAAGGTCATACGAAAATCGCTCTATATTGATGTGTAATAGGGCTTAGTGCTCTTTGGACCCTGAGGATATAACACTTGCCAGATTTGGCAAATGCAAAATTAAGGCAATTACTCTTTATTGTTAGGTCTAAGGTAACGTGATTGCGTGGCAAACTTGTCCTACTCAGTTTCTGTCTCATCTAATTTAGAGATATCCGTTTGTGTTTTCAGACGAAACCGTGCTCCCAGAAGCGGCAAAGGCACCCATCCCTGTCGAAAAAAGGGAAACACCTCCGATCAAGCACGAAGTTAAAGCGAAAATGTCAGATCCGACACCAAACAGGCGGGTAACACAGGCTGCCAAACGCCCGCTATCTAGATTGGTCAGCGGACCAGCAGGCCCAGGTCCCAAGCCTCGACCTGCCAGAGCGAGTTCCCCCGCTAATCCTTTGCATAGTCTTGATTCCATGGGGTCGTCTTCTGGGGACTCATCTGTGGGTCCTGTCAGAGGACTTAACAACAAAGAGCCTAGAACCTCAGGTTGGTAAAAAAGAGTGTCTTTATTTTTCGACGTGCTTATTGTCGGAATTGACTGATTCGAACAGTACATTGGGCTTCAGCGAGGCAGCCACTCTTGAAGTAAAGTGTCGTCTTCGCTGATGAAAATAACTACTGTTGATATTGGATAATATCAATAGTGACGCTATTAGTTACAATTTTTTTTCAACTCTTTCCCAGTTCACAAATTAAATCTCTCGTTGTTGCTGCTCTTTAGGAGGATCAGCTGTCGGAAAGAGGGATGAAAACCAGAACGTGGGGAGAGCACCCTCACCTTACACGAACGACAACTCCAAATGGATTGACGTGACGCCCGCCGTCACACGCGACGCCGTGAACAATGTAAACGGGTTGTCCGTACTTCCGGTAGATGATGTGGAAACGAACGAAGAGCTGGCCTTGCAGATAGCAGTGGATCCGACAATTGAAACAACAAAAGAATTCGACGAGAGGAGAGCACTACAGAAAGCCAAACTTTTAAGTCGGTTGAGGAATGAGTCCGATGTTGATCTTGGAAATGATGTTGCACCAGCGAGCACGAATGGCTTCACAACCAAGTTAGAGGGCATGCGCGAAGATGATGACCGGCAAGATGACGTGTTTATTGTCGAGTTAATGAAGGGGGATGATGGAATAGGCCTAGGATTGATTGATGGTCTGGTAAGTTTCAAGTATTCTGGGTTATGTTGTTTGCTTGCGTTTTGCGGTTTCCAATAAGTCGTGCAAAGTAGCCCTAAACTGTTTATATTGCTTTAGTTTATTGCAAGGATACACGCAGAGTCTCGCAATTTGTGCGCAAAAATGGTCCACAAATTCATTTTGATAACATGTTGAGCGATTCCCAGTAAGTCGGCTTGCTCATGAGTGATGCCCCTGAAACATAAATGATTGGAGTTGGTCTGGATTTGATAACATAGTTTCCGTTTGTGATGATCACCAATTTATTTGCGGAGGCAGCGTGGCCAAGCGGTTAGAGCGCTTACCTGACCGCTACCTGGATTTGCTCTCGGTGGTCCAAATCCTTGGTTACGCTCGTGAAATAGCCAACTAGTTCGCCTCCTACCAGTTGGGATTTGTAACCATGTTATGTTCCATTTAATAATTTGTTTTATTATCCCTGAAAAGAGATAATGGGAGAGGATACTTAAAGCATGATTATCATTATTTTCTTTGTGCCAGACGGCCGACAGAGGTGTGGCACTCATTGCATAAACCTAACGTCAGACGTAACAGCTGGCGTCTGGCGGAATAATCAAGAGTTTGACTAGGCTGGACGTTTTTCAACATAACCCTTATTATTTTATGAAATAAGTTTTCTTTTTCTCTGTAATCAAGTACAAGTAAGCCCTGTAGTCAACCCGCTATATCAGACCCCCAGCTCGATGAAGGGAAGAGAGGGGGTGGGGGGTGGGGGTGATCTATTGTTCCCGAACTGCTTACTTCTCGACTCAGGCGGGGTAGAAAGTGGCATTGACAATGGGATCATTTTAAAAGAGTCCCTGCGAAACCAAACCAGCGCCCTGTGGTCAATCTGTGGTCAATCTATAAGAAACTGTTTTCTTCTTTACGTTCAACATGTATTTTTAGTACACACCACTGCGATCTCCAGGGATTTATGTACGGACGCTTGTTGCAGGAGGACCAGCTATGAAGGTCAGTTGCGTTACTAGTAATATCCATATAAGAAATTCTTATACCTTTTCCCAACACACCACTATACATTGCAACCGTGTGTGTTATTGGCTGTTATCCCGAGGAGAAGAGGGGCGGCGGGGTGGGGTGGGGGAGGGGGAGGGGGTTCAATTAATATATGTCACCAATGATTATAGATATTTGCCGGGACGTGAGGACTGTTTTTAGGAAACAGGGTGGGTAGAAAATACTACGTGAATTTCAAGGGAAAACATGCTGATCATTGGCTTTTATGCTATTTTCAGGACGGCCGACTCCGTCTCGGTGATCGTATCTTGGCGGTGAACGGAACCAGTCTTGTTGGAGCAGATTACCAAAGGTACGTCTTTCCTTAATAGACCAAAACCGCAATTCACCATATTCACATTGCCCACCTTGTTTAGTTCTCCCCAAATTTTGCATAAGTATTTTTTTGATTTCTCTTGGGAAGACTTCAATACCGTAATACCCAGGAGAAATTGGAAGCAACGGTTAAGCAAACTTTTGGGTGGTAAACAAGGTGTATTATGGGTAGTTTGAAAATAGTGAATGGTGACAGAAGAGAACGCTCTGGGATAATTCAAACAAATGAAATTGCAATTTTAAATTATCTGTGCTTTTTGTTTGTCTTGACCCAATCCGTTTTACTGCGTTTTGTACTACGTGGGTCGGCAGGCATTCTAGCGTTTCCCATCGCTTCCCTTTCCAAATCAAGGCTACCCCCTCGCACGACCTGATCCCCACAAGCAGAGAGTAACGATGTATTTAAAGAATGTATTTGTTTTGTTTTAGTGCAATGCAGCAGATCCGGCAGTCAGGAACTCATTTATCCTTCCTGGTGGCGAAGTCTGATATTCACGTAGCAATGAAGATCACTGCTTCCAGTTGCTGATAGACAGATAACTGTGAAGACAACCTGCTGACCACTCTACAACTCGATAGTGGCTATTTTGTCCGTCATGTCAAAGAATAGATTTATTATGGACGTTTTTATGTCTCCGTAGTTTTCGAGTGTTTCTGGTCGAGTTCATATCATTGCATTTTTTTACCAGAGGTTTTTTACTCACAATAGCACATTTTTTTACCGCGTTTTTTAATTTTACAAGAGTGTTTATTTTACAAGTGTACATGACATTTTTAATTCGTGATGTGACTTGTCGAATCGTTTCCTGACATTTTATATAAATTTCATACGATCCACGGTTGTTTATACTTCATAACTCGAAGAGAAGACGCATAATATATTAATGTGCGGTATAATTTATTATTCAGCACTTTGGAAGTGGATTCCACATCTAGAGGGAAAATAAATTGATTCAAGGTTATTCCTATACTCTCTACTGGGCTTTTCTTTACTATAGCCTACTTAGAGCATAAGCGTGTATAATTTCCCTGGAGAGTTTTTCCAAAGTGAACAACGTGCATTCATCTTTTCTTTGTTCCTATTCCTATACCTTGCGAGCAAGCCCTCCGTTTTATATTGCGAGCAAAGCAACCCCTAGAGCGAGCGGCGAAACTTTTCCCCTCCCCTCGCACTCGCGTAGTCTTTCGCGAGCTACTCTCGAGTGATTTCTCGTGACTTCCCCAAGTGGAGAGCTTGCTCGCAGGCTATAGCCTGCAAGTGTGTGAAGAGAACGGGAAAGGGGAAATTAAGGCGCTCGAGAACGAGGTGGGCACGCGAGGAAGGGCGGAAAGGGAATTTACCGCCTTTCCCCTTACTTCTCCTTTAATACTTCATGTTCCCGCGCGCCATATGATATCCCACTTGACAGTGTTGTATTACACTTGAGCCTTCCACATTGTGTTCAAATAGCCTTATTTCTGCTCCACTACGCAGTACAACATGAATAAGAAAAACCATTAGGTTTATTTTGGCTGTTTTGGCCGAGCACCGCAGATATAACAATACGTTATACAACAACCTCTATTACATTCAAACATGTGGTGAAAAAACTGGAACAGAGCTGAGCGACAGTTTACGCAGAATACTGTCAGAACAGAGGCCAGAAAAAACCTGCCGGAAAAAACCCCAGTAGGGAAAAAAAACTCGGCAAGAAATCTGGGTAGGATCCATGGCTCATGCTCTATGCTCATGCTCTTCGGCCGTATGGCCGAAGGCTATACGGCTGGAAGGTCTTTGCCCTTATTTACTAAACATGTATTCCAACAAAGCATGGCAAAGTCTAAGTAACTTTAGGAAACGCAAACAAGCTAAGAAACCCCTGCGAAATTCGAACTGTCACTAGTAAATCCAATATATACTAAAATAAATAAATAAATAATAACGTGAGCTAGACGGGGTGTCGGCCTAGAATGCTTTTCCACGTGATAAGCATCCCTTTTATAGCACTCCATTCTACCCATACTGCACTTCAACTGTCCCAGTCCTCACTGCTCCCGCGCGGAAATATTTCATTTCCGGCTAATGCGCATCCACTCAAACGCCGGAAATTCCATTTTTTTATGCGTAGGTTTTTGGCTAGATCCCAAAATTGAAAGCATCCTGCAAATCCAGTAATGCTCTGATGCCCTTTCCAATCTCGCGTGTCTGTAAAGTAGAATATCGGTTTTGAACAATGTACAGGGTAAGTCGTTTAGCTAACTAGTTCGCCTCCTACCAGTTGGGATTTGTAACCATGTTATGTTCCATTTAATAATTTGTTTTATTATCCCTGAAAAGAGATAATGGGAGAGGATACTTAAAGCATGATTATCATTATTTTCTTTGTGCCAGACGGCCGACAGAGGTGTGGCACTCATTGCATAAACCTAACGTCAGACGTAACAGCTGGCGTCTGGCGGAATAATCAAGAGTTTGACTAGGCTGGACGTTTTTCAACATAACCCTTATTATTTTATGAAATAAGTTTTCTTTTTCTCTGTAATCAAGTACAAGTAAGCCCTGTAGTCAACCCGCTATATCAGACCCCCAGCTCGATGAAGGGAAGAGAGGGGGTGGGGGGTGGGGGTGATCTATTGTTCCCGAACTGCTTACTTCTCGACTCAGGCGGGGTAGAAAGTGGCATTGACAATGGGATCATTTTAAAAGAGTCCCTGCGAAACCAAACCAGCGCCCTGTGGTCAATCTGTGGTCAATCTATAAGAAACTGTTTTCTTCTTTACGTTCAACATGTATTTTTAGTACACACCACTGCGATCTCCAGGGATTTATGTACGGACGCTTGTTGCAGGAGGACCAGCTATGAAGGTCAGTTGCGTTACTAGTAATATCCATATAAGAAATTCTTATACCTTTTCCCAACACACCACTATACATTGCAACCGTGTGTGTTATTGGCTGTTATCCCGAGGAGAAGAGGGGCGGCGGGGTGGGGTGGGGGAGGGGGAGGGGGTTCAATTAATATATGTCACCAATGATTATAGATATTTGCCGGGACGTGAGGACTGTTTTTAGGAAACAGGGTGGGTAGAAAATACTACGTGAATTTCAAGGGAAAACATGCTGATCATTGGCTTTTATGCTATTTTCAGGACGGCCGACTCCGTCTCGGTGATCGTATCTTGGCGGTGAACGGAACCAGTCTTGTTGGAGCAGATTACCAAAGGTACGTCTTTCCTTAATAGACCAAAACCGCAATTCACCATATTCACATTGCCCACCTTGTTTAGTTCTCCCCAAATTTTGCATAAGTATTTTTTTGATTTCTCTTGGGAAGACTTCAATACCGTAATACCCAGGAGAAATTGGAAGCAACGGTTAAGCAAACTTTTGGGTGGTAAACAAGGTGTATTATGGGTAGTTTGAAAATAGTGAATGGTGACAGAAGAGAACGCTCTGGGATAATTCAAACAAATGAAATTGCAATTTTAAATTATCTGTGCTTTTTGTTTGTCTTGACCCAATCCGTTTTACTGCGTTTTGTACTACGTGGGTCGGCAGGCATTCTAGCGTTTCCCATCGCTTCCCTTTCCAAATCAAGGCTACCCCCTCGCACGACCTGATCCCCACAAGCAGAGAGTAACGATGTATTTAAAGAATGTATTTGTTTTGTTTTAGTGCAATGCAGCAGATCCGGCAGTCAGGAACTCATTTATCCTTCCTGGTGGCGAAGTCTGATATTCACGTAGCAATGAAGATCACTGCTTCCAGTTGCTGATAGACAGATAACTGTGAAGACAACCTGCTGACCACTCTACAACTCGATAGTGGCTATTTTGTCCGTCATGTCAAAGAATAGATTTATTATGGACGTTTTTATGTCTCCGTAGTTTTCGAGTGTTTCTGGTCGAGTTCATATCATTGCATTTTTTTACCAGAGGTTTTTTACTCACAATAGCACATTTTTTTACCGCGTTTTTTAATTTTACAAGAGTGTTTATTTTACAAGTGTACATGACATTTTTAATTCGTGATGTGACTTGTCGAATCGTTTCCTGACATTTTATATAAATTTCATACGATCCACGGTTGTTTATACTTCATAACTCGAAGAGAAGACGCATAATATATTAATGTGCGGTATAATTTATTATTCAGCACTTTGGAAGTGGATTCCACATCTAAAGGGAAAATAAATTGATTCAAGGTTATTCCTATACTCTCTACTGGGCTTTTCTTTACTATAGCCTACTTAGAGCATAAGCGTGTATAATTTCCCTGGAGAGTTTTTCCAAAGTGAACAACGTGCATTCATCTTTTCTTTGTTCTTATTCCTATACCTTGCGAGCAAGCCCTCCATTTTATATTGCGAGCAAAGCAACCGCGAGAGCGAGCGGCGAAACTTTTCCCCGCCCCTCGCACTCCCGTCGTCTTTCGCGAGCTACTCTCGAGTGATTTCTCGCGACTTCCCCCAGTGGAGAGCTTGCTCGCAGGCTATAGTCTGCAAATGTGTGAAGACAACGAACGAGGTGGGCACGCGAGGAAGGGCGGAAAGGGAATTTACCGCCTTTCCCCTTACTTCTCCTTCCATACTTCATGTTCCCGCGCGCCATATGATATCCCACTTGGCAGTGTTGTATTACACTTGAGCCTTCCATATTGTGTTCAAATAGCCTTATTTCGGCTCCACTACGCAGTACAATATGAATAAGAAAAACCATTAGGTTTATTTTGCCTGTTTTGGCCGAGCACCGCAGATATAACAATACGTTATACAACAGCCTCTATTACATTCAAACATGTGGTGAAAAAACTGGAACAGAGCTGAGCGACAGTTTACACAGAATACTGTCAGAACAGAGGCCAGAAAAAACCTGCCGGAAAAAAACCCAGTAGGGAAAAAAAACTCGGCAAGAAATCTGGGTAGGATCCATGGCTCATGCTCTATGCTCATGCTCTTCGGTCGTATAGCCGATACGGCTGGAAGGTCTTTTCCCTTATTTATTAAACATGTATTCCAACAAAGCATGGCAAACTCTAGATAACTTTAGGAAACGCAAACAAGCTAAGAAACCCCTGCGAAACTCGAACTGTCACTAGTAAATCCAATATATACTAAAATAAATAAATAAATAATAACGAGAGCTAGACGGGGTGTCGGCCTAGAATGCTTTTCCACGTGATAAGCATCCCTTTTATAGAACTCCATTCGCATCCACTCAAATGCCAGAAATTCCATTTCTTTATGCATCTACTAGGTTTTTGGCTAGATCCCAAAATTGAAAGCATCCTGCAAATCCAGTAATGCTCTGATGCCCTTTCCAATCTCGCGTGTCTGTAAAGTAGAATATCGGTTTTGAACAATGTACAGGGTAAGTCGTTTAGCGCTCTATGGTTTGTCTAAGGCCCCTTTTATAAGGAGAAAACTTGTTCCTGGTAGAAGGGTCACTCGCCCACCCGAGCTATCCTGGGCGAGTCGCCTCTTCATCTATTTCCTTATAAAACGTGGCGAACCATTTACTTGAGAAACAAAAAGTTGGCTCGGCTATAAGGGTGAGCCGCCTAGCCGGGGAAACGTTTTACCATATCATGAACAGTCTGGCCGGCCCAGCCGGTTCAACTTGGTCAAGACGAGACAATCGGAGCCTGAGCGAACTTTTTTTTTTTAATATTGAAGCTTATTGTTGGTAAGTACAATACAACGCTGTTGGCTCGGGCAAAGGGGTCAAGGTTTTTCTCATTTTAAGGCCTGCTAAAGGTGACTCGGCTGGGAGGGTGACCCTTCTCATACATTTCTTAGCCGTTGTTGCACGACCGCGACATGAAACTTCCTAATTTCACGCGCCCGCTTTATGGAGTAGGCGAGCTCAACACAAAAATTTTGTTTTTCTTTTTCTAAACTTACATACGGTTCTTTCGGATTTAACCCAGAGCCCAGAAAATTTTGCCAACATTTGACAAATTAAATGAAATCACAAAAGATCGATGAAATTTGAAACAGTGCGAATCCACTTTTTAAGTGACGTTTTGGTTTATTGTCATCCAAAAATTTTGCTATTATGGCAACGTGAAGTAACGACTTCTCCTCTCCATTCCACCGTGGAGATAACAAATATTCAGTGCACCCTAGCATAGCCGCTGGAACTCCTCCGCTTCTAAAGGCCAAGAGTGATGTCTTAGTAAGGTCCTTATGGGGAACACCTGATTGTTGGTGCTTTAAAAGGTTCGTTTTAGTTGGATTTAAAAGAGGTCCGACGGGCATTTCCGGTTTGTTTAAAGCAGCAGCATGTATAATTAAATTAGGCTGATTTAGCAACAGAACAGGAACGTCAGTTGACGACGCGCGCAAATCAAACAACTGCCTTGACCAATGGCAGAGCGACAAATTGGGCACCAAAGTTAAGTCCTTCCCACACGCTTTCCCGTCGTCAAATGACGTTCCCTTTCTGTTGCTAAATCAGTCACTTAATCCTGTGCGTCAAGAGGTTTCCGGAAACAAAGTCGAGGACATTAAACAAACAAAACTGGTATCAGCATTTATTTAAAGGAAACCACATCACAAATAAATCAACACTTACAAGTATAATAACCTCGTGACCAAAAAAACTAAAACAAACCTCAATGACAAACCAATTTGAACAGAAAAACGTGGCAAAAAATACAAAAATAAAACACACTTAAATCCCCATGGAAAGAGGATTCCCTAACCATTGGTGATAAGTAACAATTCAAGAAAGCTTTTCAGTTTTGGGGTTGCTAAGCAAAAAGCAAAACAAAATAACAATTTCCTGACCGCTGTGATCATGGTCTTTGGATGAAAATGTTAGTGTCATTGGGCAGGCCATTACGTACTTCTGCAGTGAAGTGGGTAAGACAAGCGAAAACATAGAATTTCCCCCAGGCTAAGCTCAATTCCATCCTAAAGATATCTGTTTATTCAGTTCAGCATTTATTCCGCCACTTTTCATTCTACCTCCGAATACAAGTGTGCTGTTTTCATTCTGGCTAAATTAAACTGATGTTCATCTTTACTGTTGGCCGGAAGTAATTTCCTGTAGACCACTGGGGACAATTTAATAAAACTTTTACAAGTGTTGTTTTCAGATTCCAAAACAAAGGCTACACTCGTAAACTACACTTGTAAAAGTTTTATTTACCTGACCCCTCTTTTAGTGTAAAATCATTTCCAAGTGTCTTTGTCATAGCCTGGGTACAGACGCCCCCTCCCAGGGGAGGGGGGCGTCTGTACACAGGCTACTTTGTCACGGTAAGGTCTTTCCTTAAATTACTACAATGCTCTTTACAGCGCATTATTGTTTAGCCTCGTGTTCGTAAGGAGCCAATGGAATGTCTTCACGGAACATTCACCAACTTCTCCATTAAACTTCTCCATAATCTCCATCATCAGCGCATGCATAAACGAACACATCAGTGCAATGTTGACATTGGTCCTTGAGTGTTTTGGTTCTGAAGCCTGCTTTGCTTTAGTTAGCGTGCACTCTTATGAAATCCTCCGACCGAGATTTAGCCGGATTTGGAAAAAACACAAAGCAGGCTTCAGACCCCCTCCCCTCCCCTCCCGTCCCCCACAAATAAAGAGAAAAGAACCAACACTCCACAAGGACTACTATTTTTACAACAACGTAGAACGTTTCATTGCATAATTCTGCACTGAATATAAAAATTTGAATCTTGACTCCTCCTGAGCACAAACCAGACTAAACATGCACTTATTAAGAATAAAATATTCCTGGGAAACACTTGTTGTCAAGGAGTTACAAATCTTTATGACGTACAGTCAGCGTGATATTTCACCGTAACAAAAATATGTTGCACCTCCTATTGAACGTTCTACTTTCGTTCGTTTACACCCACAATAGTCATTTAGCGGACCGATTAATCAAAAACAGACGGTTTAAAAAAATAGAGTGAATGAGACCTATGTAAAGTGGTTGTTGAGATAAACGCAACATAACAAAGACGGCAGCCAGTGCCATAAAGACAGGATTGGAACTAGCCAACCCAATGGGAAATAAGTCCAAGCAGTAAGTTATGTCCTCCAATTTTCAAGGTTCAGCGATAACTTTGGCTTCCACATGACCATCGTCAAGTCATGACACACGTCAGACTATCTGGCCAATTACAGCAAAAAAAAACCAACACAATGAGCCAATCACGGTGAAGCGCGGGAAATTGCAGATGCAAATGTGGAGTAAAGCCAGAGGCGGGAAACTCGGAATGCTGGCAGAGAAACAAAACGCAAGTTTGGTTGTCTTTGTGCGCCTGCCTGGTCGACAGAGTACAGTTCCTCGGATTAGTCTTAATACGCTACATCCAGTAAGACGTGGCAAACGAAAAATAAAATCAGTATGTGAAATAATAACTGCTCAATGCTCTGCGTACACAATGGAAGATTCTTAAGACAGCCAAGTAAAGGAGACATCGGTGAAAAATAAAAGCCGTCAATTTTTACGAAAAGGAAGAAATTAATGAAACGTTGCTCTCATCGTCACTGAAAAAAAAAGAAAAAAAATCAAAATAAGTCGAATATAGCAATTTGCACTCTCAAATTCATCTATTCCGATAGAGTCTTAAGCCGGGAAAAGGCCATAAGGACAGCGTATGAAACAGACATGGCTTCTTGTGCAAACTAGAGGCGTTCCTGTAGTTGCGTTCCTGAAAAAAACAACCTCTATACATACAACAACCATCCGTTACCTACCTTGTGCGTTGAGCAGAATATCGTAAAATTGTCCTCAACGAAAGTGCAACCTATTAAATAACAAAAACAGAAAAAAAAATCAAATAAACGAAAGCTGGATGACCTAATCAAATAAAAACTGAAACAAGCCGTAAGGCCGGGTTTCAAAATCTGCCTTCTCTCTCACGGTCTAAACCCCACCCACCCCTTCGCCCTCCAGTCCGCCCTCATTGCAGCTCAAGTCCAGTTGGTTAGGAACTGAGGGTGCTTACCACTTACACAAACTACAAGGGTGGAAATCAATCTTGTGCATACACATAAATTTATGAAATTTGGCGGGCTGGAAGAACGGCCCGCTGCAAAGTACATCTACATCTGCAGAACGGGCTGAAGAGAGTAGAAAAATTGCATCGCCTCAATTTACAGCCCATATTTTCTGAAGATTCCCAAACGAAATGTCGCGAACCATTTGATTTTTCAGCCGGCATTTGCGGTATTTCCATGTTATGGTGGTTGTTTACCATTTCAACAAGTTTCCGGAAAGTCCAGTTGGAAAGTAATGGAACATGACTATTTTGGGCGTCCCAGCCGAACATGTCCGGCAGCAACGGAACATCTGAAAAGGTAGTCCTTTTTTTCCGGACGGAATATTCCAAACGGAAATTCGTGTTCCATTTCTTGAAAGACATCTTTGATGACAGTTTCAGGCGTTCTCGGTCGTTTTTACCGGTAAATGAAACTGTTTTGTACAAATGGTAAACGCGACTGAATTTTTGTTACCATTTGCCTAAACCGTGGACCGACCGGTTTGTCCGTGTAAACGGTAAAAAACCGGTAAGTAACCATAGTACCCTTTCCTCAATATCATGGATACTTCTGATATCCAGGCACAGATCACATGTAACAAAAGAAACGAAGCAAAAAGTACAAATCACAACTAGGAAGACTTTGGCCTCTATACAGAGACAGCGTTTTCACTCATAAAGGACTGGTTTTGGAAACCAACATGGCGGAAATGACGTCATGAGACAAGCCTCTGTATATAGCACAGCCAACAGGAACAATAATAAAGACAGTCACCTGAATCTCTTGCACAAGCAAAGTGATACATTTTAATACATCCTCGTTTGAAGCAGACCAGCGTGGCACCAACTTCGGAACACTTCACGCATTTCTGTTGGAAAGAAAAAAATCACAAACAATTATATCACACAGGAGTTAATACTGACGACTCGCATAAAGCAAAGCACGATCGAACCTCTCCTTATAATCACCCTTCTATATTAAAGACATATTTTATAACCTAATTGTACGGTAGACATACACCGCAAACAGGAGCACAAACAAACGATAGCCACAAATTTTATGGGACATAAGGAGGCGCAAAAGCGTAAAATGCCAATTGCTACTACCTTTGGTACCAAATCTGAACCAATGGGGCGGACGACACGAGTTATGCCACGTTATGTCGTTATTCATTGTCTTAATACGTGAGCATACCCTTGGCCCATGAGAAAACAGACAGTAAGTACAACGTCTGACTTTAATATTGTGATTAGTTAGGAAGTTTAATTTTATTGTTATGCATACGACCACATCAGTTTTGCTGAATTTTTAATCGTGTTTAAATAAATGCTATTATTATTATTGTTGTTGTTTTTGACACTGCAGCTTCTACCGCTCTGTATGTTGTCAGTCAATTGTATTCCTTGCCGTTGTGTAGGTCTTTAAAATATACCGAATCATTCTGAAGATTTTCGCACATATTCCATACAGTAGGTAGGTCGATTTACGCAGCTTTGATCAAAACATTCGCAGTTACGATGATTTTTTTTAAACTAGAAGAAAAGATTTGATTAGAAGTGGTAATTTTTCCCTATTTCGCTCGCACTTTTTACAGTTCATTTTATTAGCCGGAAAGCAAGCCGATTTCTGTTATCGTCCATCGTTCGGCTGATAAGCTAGTTTGATTCACTCGTTTGCATTGGGAAACTTGCTTGTTTGTGGACTGAGTCTTATTCTCCCAAAGTAATTTATAACTGGCAAATCGTTTTCAGTCAAAGATTTGTGAATGATAAACTCGTGTCTGGCAAACTCTCCAAGTGTTTATATATACACAGCTATACGCCTCTTATAACGTCATCCGCACTTAACGAGTGTCTTTCGGTCCACATCTTTAAAAACAGCTGCTCCACAGAATGTCACTTCAGGAACACACGTAACACAAGAGTATCGAAGTTTGACTGTACAATAAGTGTCACAAAATCAATCTAAGCGGTCCCTTCGGGAATTTTCTGTTTTACATCATCCTAACCATCTCTTACCACTGGGCGTTTAAAATAGGAACGTCATCATTACCCAACGATCCCATGTGGCCCCTGTTCAAGCAATCGCGAATTTACTGACTGCATATTTCAACTGTTACCACTTTCCTATATATACGCGCGAGTTACTAGGCTGCCTTCTTGGGATTTGGTCTTCTAGGCGAAATCCCTTCGGGGTCATTAACAGGCTGTATACGCAAATTGAATTCGGTCAGCAGGGTGATCTCTGCGTCCACGCACCAGTGCCATCTCATCTCGGGTACGTACCCAACCAAAACAAAGGCCTACGGAAGAAGTTCGTGACGTAGGATTGCAGAGATGCGTGAAAAGACAAGTAAATGAAACAGTTACATGAGAGGTTTGGGTATCATAACTTAAAGAATAAGAAATAATACTTACATGCTGCGCTGCACTTTCTACAGCTTGCTCTAACCCATGAAGGATTTTGCCCAACATAAATACACCCGGAGACCACACTCCACAATCCCGATGAATCCACAAGTCCAAATCATAATTTTCCATATCATCTTCATTAGAACTCGACTTCCGTTCCACGTGTGCGTCCGAACTGGAACTCGACTTTCTGCCAGGTGATGACAGTTTTTGAGATAGTTTACTGTCCTTTGCAAAAGAGCTGTCTGTTTTCTCTTTGGAGTATTTTGTCTTATAAGGTCCGTAGAGATCTCCCAGCAAGTTATGACCGCTGCGTTTTCCGCATAAACAACAAACCCATGAGTCGCCGTCAACTCCTCCACGAGGCATTACAGATATATGCTTTACTGGAGATCCCGAAGTCGACACTTTGCGTCGTTTCGGAGATTTGCTTGCATTAACCGTTGGTACCTCCAAAGATAGAGGTCGTTTGGAAGAGGTCGACGCTTCAGTAGAAGACATGTCCTTTACAACACTAGCAGTCTTTGAGAACTTCCGTTTTGAAGCGGGTTCATCCACTTTTTCTTCGTTTTCTGTTCGCTTAGATTTATGCACAAAAGATTTACGTTTCTGTTTATCCTTGCTCCCTGGTGGCCGACCACGACCTGGAGTTTTGGTCGGTGGTTTATCTTCAGGCATCGACTCTGCCTGTCTGCTTGTAGAGGATGTATCCTCCCTTTTATCGGCAGAGTTTGTCAAGTCTGTCCCTGCATTAGATCCACTGCTACTGCTAACCTTTTCCTTTTCAAGTGCGGCAGTGTGATGTTTTTTATCAGCTGGTGACTCCTCACTGCTCTTCGTGTCGCCCTTAGAACTACGCAATCTGTTTGATTTTAACTTTTCATCATTTTTCTCATTGCCCGCCTCGTAGGCCGTTCCCTTCTGCGCAGTACCTTTAGATGCCTCGTGGCCTATGTTTTCTTTGGCATCGGCTATTTTCAATACGGATGCAGTTTGTATATGTTTGACTTGACCCGTTGGCGTCTTCACCGGATTCACAATTAGCACCTTAGAAAGATACAGAAAGTAGTTAAGTTTGTTAAAAAGTGAAAAACAAACCCCATATTTCATTTTCGGAAAGCACCGTGACAAATCAAACCCAAGGACCTTTTGAGAATTTAAGCTAATCAAAACTTAAAAACTGTCTGTCAATTATTCGTAATAGACTTACGATGAAGATGCGACCCACGGAGCAGCCTGGCATCACCCTTTCTTATCGCTTGTTTGTATTCAGTCAGTTGCGTGCGAAGGTTTCTGCCGGTTTCACCAATTTAAGTGGCATGGCAGTCACAGCATTTGATCTTATTTCTCGCTCCATGCCTGCCCGACCGTCTGAACGTTCGTTAGTAGTCGTTAAGTGTCGCCTCTTGCTTTCTCTTACAGTCTTAAGCAGTTATTTGGCTGATTTAGCAACAAAACGGGAACGTCAGTTGACGACGGCGCGCGCAAATCAAACAACTGGCTTGACTAATGGTTCAGCGGCAAACTGGGCACCGGAAGTAGAGTTTAGTCCTTTACGCGCGCTTTGCCATCGTCAAATGACGTTCCATTTCTGTTGCTAAATCAGCCTATTACAGAGCTTAGGAAGAGACGTTTTTGAGCGACACAGGTGACCCAGATGTGAGGCCTTTTCTTTTTTTATTATGCCTTGACGGTATCAAATTGTATTCCTTAGTGTTATTATTCTAATCGAGACGATTTGCCAAAAAATTAAGGACAACCACAGCTCATGGACGCAAAAAGGCCACTTCCGGTTGCACTGCATCGCTCAAAAACGTCTTCGCATAAGCTCTCTATTTTGATATTTCAGTCAATTCTGCAACCCTAATTAACAATTATTCCTCGAGCCCGAATGGGCTCTGAGTCAATTGACTCAGAGGCCATGAGGGCGAGAGGAATAATTGTTTTAGTAAAATCCAACCAGTTGGTCAAAACTATCGAGATAAAACAACTTAAGCTAGCAAAACGCGACTCAGCCGCCATTGTTTTGCAAAGCGGGCGCTTTTCGCTACTAGTGTGCTATAACATATAGCCTAGTAGAAGCTCAACCAATCAGAACGCAGCATTGATAATAGACCGCTAGTTGGATTTTACTAATTGCTGATAGTGCATGCGTAAAACAGCCTTACCTACTCCCTTTCGTAAACTATTGAAAGAATAATATTCACCTTTGAATTCTGCTTTGATAAGGAGTCAGAACTGAGAGACTGAACAGGCACCAGAAGGTTCCCTTGGATGAGATACATTTGCCCAGATGTGGTCTTAGCCACCATGACTTGTTGATTGCTCTGAGCAGACTTGCCCTTCGCAATGATGGTAGCTTTGATTGGAGTAACCTGTTGGTGGCTGGAACGTGGAGAAGCTGTGGTCTGCTCTATCGTCTGGATTCCTTGGGTTTTGCTTTCCACTGGCGGAGGTGATGAATCCACTTTTGAAGCTGACAGACGATCGTCATCATCCGAAGACAAACGTTCTTCGCACCTCAGGGAGACCGTAACTGGCTTCTCCTTTACAACAACTGCTGGAGTTGATCCACTGTTGCGTTTCACCGAATGTTGATTTTCTTCGGCCGTTTTATTTTTACTATTTGACTTGACGGTGCTTGGTTCACATTTGTTAGATGATGGAGTTGCAACATTGGCTGATTTGACAGGCTCAAAACCTTGTTTCACAGTTCCCTTCGTATCAGTTGACACGGTGTCTGTCTCGTCAGCCTCTTTCCTTTCACTAGCCTCACTCGCATCCCCGTTTCGCTGCGCCGTTTCATGATTACCCTCAACTGTTGTAATATCGGACTGTCCAACCTTTTTATCTCTACGAACAAGTTCATCATCCGATCCGTTAACCGGTTGGCCAGTTTTTCTATTTTCCGCCAAGATGCCCTCCAAGTGATTGTCTTTTTTGTTAGCTGGTTTCCCAGCTTCTACAACAGGTTTCTTACTCAATTTACCCTCCACATTCGTTGTTACACTACTATTTCCTTCACGGTCTCCATCGACTTTACCACTTTCCTGCTTTTTTTCACTGTCCTTTTCAGCACACGATACCTGAACATTATCATTAGTAGCCTTTCTCTCTGTATCGCTGGTCAAATCGTCTTTTTCACAAGTCACGTTTTCCATGTTACAACCTGCTGCTATATCTCCAGCCGGGTTTTTGTCCGCCTTGTTGATGACCTCTTTCGATATCCCATCTTTTTTAATAACGTCCAGGCTCCATACAGCTGCAGTAACTTCAGTTTCCTTGGCATTAGGATCGCCTGATGGTTTCTCTGCACCACTTTTTCCATCTTCACCTTCTTTGCATCCAACCACCTGTTGATGTTTTGACTCTTTTGAAGATTGGGCTACATTCTCTGGCTTTAATGTTTCCACAACAGACTCGTTTCGCTCTGGTGATAAACTGCTCCCAGGACCACTCAATTTGTTTTCCTTCACTGTTTCAAAGTTCCCCTCTCTCTTATCCCCTAGCTGCTTCTTTGGAGAATGGGTTTCATGTTCACTCTGTCGAGTCCCTCTTACTGTCTTAGCTTCCTCCACTTTCTTACTTTCGTTAACTTTCATGTCACACCCTTCCTCTTCTGATCTACTCGCATCCACCTTTTTAGTGAGTGGAGGAGATACGCAAGGACTTCCAACATCAGAAGCGCTTCTCCGCAGACGAGGCAAACCTTTTTGGCTATCACCCCCTTTCTTAGAAAGAGTTCCTTTCATTTGTGAAGCAGAAACTACCTGACTGGGATCAAAATAAGGTGGTGATGATGATTTTTCCTTTTTGGAAACAGGCTTAACTGAACCTCGATCATCAAATCCCAGCTGATTTCCCCTTAACAGATCAGGACTCTTCGGATTTGGTAAAGAGGTAGGGGGGGATCTCTTAGGTGGTGGAGAAGGCATTTTCATCGTGCTCTGCTGTCCAGGATATGAAGCTCTGCGTTGAGTTAATCCTCCAACTTTTTGTTGCTGGGACTGGTATTGTGACTGGGATGGGGTTGTACTGGGCTGAACAAACATGCAAGAACTATGCGGCTGTTGTTGTTGTTGTTGCTGCAGTTGAAACTGTGCCTGACTCGAGCCAAAGGGAGACCTTGGCTGTGGAAAAGCTTCACGAGGTCTGCTATATAACCCAGCATCTTGCTGTTGTACTGGGGATGTGGTTGATCTTCTTACTGGGGAATGTGGTGGTTGATATGGGCTGGTTGGGGATTGATACGGCATGTTAGGCATCTGCATCCCAGTATTGGATCTAGCATTAAACGATCCACCAGCATTAAATCCCTGCATCTGGTTTGGCACCGATGAAGGTGAGGGCCTTTTGGGGTATGAGTTGGACTGGTACGACTGAACCTGCTGTGAATAAGGAATCCCTGGGGGCTGAAGGAAACCTCCACCTTGCTGCATCTGCTTATGTACCGGAGAAACAGGCATATTCATTCCATAACCATCTGAATAATACTGCTGCTGTCTGGCAGACAGATTGGCAAGACTCAAGGAAGCTGGTCCTGGTATACCCATAGCTTGGTTAGAGCCTGTCTGTGGACCAAACTCCCCTACAGTATGATTTGAGCCAGTTCCTTGGGGATATCCTTGTTCTGATGGAAACCCACCCTGGTATGCACCCATAGATTGAACAGACGTCTGAGGTGACATAGTTCTTGGTCCCCCATAACCTCCATTATAGCCCTGGAAATTGCCACCTCCATAAGCAGCTTGTTGATGCTGCTGCTGCTGATATTGCTGCTGTTGAAGTACCAAGTCTAAATCTTGAGGCATCATGCCATTGTTAGGACTTCTAGGGATCATCTGTCCTGGACTGATGGAATGGTAATTTGAACCTCTTGGTTGTTGGTGATGGCCCATTCCGGGTAACTGTTGCTGTTGCTGTTGCATCCCACTATAATGAGCTGATCCATAACCCATGCCAGGCTGGGAGTACCCCTATGAAAGGTAAGAAACTTATATCAACATTGAAGCCTCAAGAAAAACATGTCTCAAGGGTGCCTTCCATCATACCAAAATCTCCCAGTTTGAAATGGCTTGATCAAAGCAGAAAATTTTCCTAGAGTAGGTACACCTTTAATCCATGATACCATAAATAATTCCCAATTTCTAAAATACTCATTTTTGATTATTTTACAGCTTATTTGTTCAAAAATGATGAATACCAGAGAATCTTTCAAATTCTAGGAGCACAAAGAGCAGACTGAGAAAAGGTTGCTTCATTTTATCCGCAAGAAATTGAAATGTTCCCCAAGAAATGAGTCTAGAATAAAGACCAATAAAGGAGGCATAGCAATCAATGAAAAACAAGCTGAGCCACCAAAAATGCACGATAGATTCTCACCATAGAATAAAGGTTACTAGGAATTTTTCATTAATATTGTTTTAAATTTTAGGGTCAGTGTTCTCCTTATCAGGGGGTAACTGGTAAAATTTCCTGCCTGAAGCAACACTTGTTACCGCCTGAAATGGCAATTTTAAGATTTACTTTCAAGATTCTCACATGCCACAAGGAAATGAATGCATATATGGACAGCGGATTAGCGTAAAACAGGTCTTAAAATGAAGGAATGACGTTTCAGAGAACTAGTTCCTAAATTTCCCAGCAAGGGTGGGGCCATGTCCCACACTCCAGTACCCCCTTCCCCCCAGGAAAGTGCACCTCTAGTGCATATCTTATGCCTTACCAGCTATGAATGGTCCCTTATCTGCTGAGCTAAAATTTAGGCAGAACACTGAGGGTTACTGGTAATTTAGTCTCACAGTCATAAAGACCAGCCCAGGGTAACAAGCTACCACATATTGTTGCTGTAAGGTGCCTTGGAAGGGTTTTCAGAGTGAGATGGATGTGTGGCAAACTGTCTGCTTTCAGCAAGGGACAGATGTGATGCTTCTCTATAAAATGGGAAAAGTGGGTGACAAAATATCTTAAGCAGGGCTCAAAAAAACTCCTGTCCAGTCGTTTGATCAAGTAGTTTTTGGCATTGCGCAAGTGACTTTCCTGGTAAGCTTCCCATTCAGTCTGAACACAACTATTTACTTAGACTTCACCGAGATTAGTTGTAGCCGTGACTACATGTATGACTAAAATGTTTCATGATCTTGACCATTATGCAGATCAGAGGAATTCTCCAATTTCAGTCTCAATGAAGATGTGAACTACAGAAATAGAAATTTTTTAATGACGATATGATTATCGCAGTGGCAATTGCATTTTGTGCAAAATTAATAATAAATAAATTCATGCATTTTGGTGTTGTGTTCACATGGAACCATGCTAACCATATGAAAATTTAGATGCCTAGCCATTCGAAAATCTGAATGCCCAAATCGAGCTCAAATTTTGAGCTTGAGGAGTTAAAAGCTTGACCAGTGATGTGTGAACACCATGATCGTCTAAATTGCTGTGCAGCAAAAGTGTGGTTGCATGGATGCAAGGAAATTCAGCTAGGAGACACCATTTTAGATTTGCTCATACAAGTAGGGTGCATGGGCAAATGGTAAAACCACTGAATAAAGTTAAAATTGAACCTGGTTTGTCAATTGTGTGTGAAAAGCACAAAATTATTGAACAGTTAAGCGGGAATAAAATGTCCAGTCAAAATTTTCAGCTCAGCTGTACTGGCATAAGAAAAGGGAGTTGTCTTTAGTGAACCCGACGACTGTGCCTCCAAAAAGAGAAAAAGATCTTGTTTTTTTGTCTAGTTTGTTTTTGTCTACCACATCAAGATAAAAGATGACTGCTTTTCTACAATTGCTTACAACTCCTGAAGAGTGTTCCTGGTATGTGGCATGATTGTCAGTATAGTCATTATTTTCAAATTTAACCATTACAGAAAATATTATATTAAGAAATAAATCATTTTAAAATGTTAAATTTACTAAGCTGTGTAAATTATGTTTCGTGTCCAAGCTGCCACATGTGACAGAAACTTATTCCTGCTGTGTCAAAGAATTATTGCCATTCCTTCCCTGGTGACAGTGCATCAACATTGACAGCTTTGGTGTTATAATCTGTTATAATCTCGTTACAGGCAAGATGCAGCAACAACTCTATTCCTTGTTTTCTCTAAATGCAAACTGGGCCAAATTGAGCGTACAGTTTGAACTACATTGTACAAGTTGGCAACCCACGAACCAATTTGGCTGAAATGTGACCCACTTACTGCCAGATACACTGGTAGTTATTCTAAAAACCATGTGTACAAATTTTGACTTCTTTTTTTCATTTTTGAGATGTATTTTTTTCCACAGGTAATGCTAATGACTTGTTATTCCTAACTTCATCTGCTCATACCAAAAGAAAAAATGAAACATTTCCAACATTTCCAAGAGCCCTACACACATCCTATGCTGCCACACTGTTTCCATTTCTTGTCCCAAACACAACAAGATCATCCAAGGAGGATTTAATTTATTTTAACTTATTTAAATAATTATGTTTATGAAAATTATTGATTGAAAGCATATCTATCAGAGGTTCAACATGTGAAGTTCTGAGTTGGAAATTGATATCAAATCAGTCTAAGCCAGTTTCAAATCCAACATTTTTGACTGACATGTATACTGTACTTGAATGCATGCAAAACTGTAATCAGCTATTTGTGCTAAAAAAATCAGTTTAGTCACATATCCCACACCTGTCCCTTATACTGTAACAAGAACGCACTTAAAAGTGGCGTTTAGTCTCGCTTTGCTTGGAGATTAGATAAGAAATGAGGAGGAAATTAACTCTACACAAAACAGGATTGGCTCGCTAAAGGTTTTTCACTTCCTTCTTTATCGCAGGTCGAGAATTCTTCAGGATATTTACTTTTTATATGCTATTGGATGATTTGTTTCTGAATTGATTTAGTATACATGTTAGCAACAACTGGAAATACGTCCGCTGTCACAGGCTATACGCGTGTATAAATACACGAAAATTCAAGGGCCTCGATTCAAGAGAAATTACATCATGGCAAAAGGTTGAAAAACATGATTTACAAGGCACGTCATTTAAATCATCATGGAAAATAAACCTGCACATTTAAAAAACATTACCTGTGTACAAAATAATCCCCACACTAAAACAAACAATATGGTCAACACAGTAGAGTTTCTATCTGACCACATGCCTGAGCAAACACACATGGTTTGTTTTAAGTTTCTTCTGCATCTTGAATTTGCCTTCGACCTTTGTTGACTATGGAGAGTTTCAATCCTAAAGCTGTTAATTTACAGGTATTTTGAATACTTTTGCGTGGATTTTAACAAATTAAATAAAGGAAAGGAGCCAACTGTCCTACTGTTGTTGTTACTTTTTTTGCCAGTAATCTGGAAGTAAAATTTCGACTATCTTTCAACCAAGGCCGATCAACTTGACATTATTAAAAAACCGTTTTCTCTTGCACTCTAGAATCTGCCCTTTGAGGATTTCTTTCACATCCCTTTTTTGGGAGCTAAAATATAGCATTGAAAGATTTTTCAACACAAAACCACACAAGGAAAGACACTAAACAGTCCACATCAGTGAGGGTGTTTGTTTTTGACCAGCAGTATCATGACTTAAAGTAGATACCTTGCATAAAGTTCTGTCAAATGAAAAGAAGCCATTTTGTATCTATGAAGTGGTAGAATTGCATGCATTTGCCAAATTTCTAAAGCTCTTAGAATGTGTGAGACTACCTGTATGATGCATGTAAAATTATATTTTGTCAAAAATATTCAGCTCTACAGAATTTCATTTTCCAAATTGGGTAAGTAATCTTCGACTTCCACTGGCCTAAAGGATTTCACACTCAAATTGGTGAGTGGACAAGTGCTTATGTCAAACTCTGCATGAGTACCTTAAGTCAAGAGATCAATATTGACAGCCAACTGCGGGTGTTCGCTAACATGCCATCAAAAATAATAATCAAAACCATCAAAAAGATAAAAAATCCAGAATCTGAGAGATGAAAGAAGATAAATATGCAAAGAGCCTCACCAAGATTCAGGTCAGTGCAATTTTTCATACGCATTAGATATTCGGAGAAATGGTTTACCCAAATGTGTAGAGCTTCGTATAGAGATGTCATGATGACGCCCATCTGAATAGGCACCAACATGGCAGCTGGAAACCAGCAGAAATGTCTGTCACTGAGTTTTGCTACAAAAGCGTGAATATCATCTCTCAAGGAAATACAAACATTAAAGCTTTTTCTAATACAATGAGTGTTCAAATAGCAAAATCCCCCCAAACAAGTACATGTAAATTGCAAATTTTAAAATCTACAGAACGCCTCTCTCGGTTTCCCTGTAATTGCCACTTCATGCAAAAGCTTAGAAATTCAAGAGTACTCTATGACAAAATGAAAAATCCTTTTGAAGAGAAAATGTGTGGTTCCAAAAAATATCCAGACGCTCACCACAGAGGGAATTTCACATAGGACCCCATACCTCCCTGAATTTTCCATTTTTGTAGGGAAGTGATAACCCCCCCCCCCCCATTCCCCAGTTCAACCTCTCCCGAATTTCCAGAGGTGTAACAAAGACCACCCTCCCCTCTGAAAAAGTTCATTCACTCGAAGAAAGGTTATTGAAGTAAAAGATTGAGGCCATTTGTGGTTTTTGACCAACGGTTTCCAGTTATTAAGTGATCTCACAACATTACAACCCACTACGCTGCCATAAGGTAACCTAACCTGCAAAATTTGGGTCAATTTAGATTTCTGGGAAACTGTCCACCTACCCCTTCCTTAAGCCAACATTATCACTTACTTCTCACTAACGGCAAAATGTTGGCCTAGGGGAGGGGTGGGTGGACAGTTTCCCAGAGACCTAAATTGATCCCAAAATTTTGCTTATCTCTTTCTTTAAATGAACAGATAAAGTTAATAAGTTGTATCAGTGAATTTACCATAATGTGCAAGCTTACGACTTGTTTTTTGTCTTCATAGGCAGAATGTTGATGTAATTAAGGCCATTTCAGCAAGTGTGGGTGCTTATAGTAAAGAAGTCAAACTTTCAACCACAAAATTAAGGCAAAACAAAAAAGAGGATGAAAACTCTAGATCCTGAAACGGTTATATTGTATACCATGTGTTTCGTGAAGCAAAATTGCCACTATACTATTCTTTCATCGACTGATGCAACAATGTGTAATGATTCTTATTTCAAATGTTGGTGGAATTTTGTAACGCCATTTAGCGTTAATGCAATCGCAAACAGTCATGATGTCACCCTCTCAAACACAAAATTAAGAAAAAAAAGGAGACAGAGGAAATTAACTCTAGATTCTGAAATCATGACCTTGTACCTTCTGCTTTTTGAAGCGAAACTTTCACTATTTTGCAATTGACTGACTCAACATGTCTTTAGGGAGACTGGTAATGAGTAATGGCAGCCGAATCTACGAGCACAAAATAAATCAAGTTTAAGTCGGTCTAATTCCTTTGAAATGGCATCCAAAAATGTTTTCTAAGGAAGACAGAAAACCTGATTAAGCTTAAAAAGAATAATCATAAATGATATAGTTTAAGTTATTTGTGTCTCAAGAATGATCTACCAGATCGGTAAGAAGCAATGTTGGTCAATGTTTGAACTTAATTCCAAAATGAATTGATATTAACCCCATGGAAAGTGATTTAATTGTCCAACCCCCTCCCCTTCGGAATTTCTGATTCCCTCAGTGGAGGGGTCTGGATATTTTCTGGAACAACACAATTTGTACATATACCATATTTTCTCGATTAAACAGCCCCAGCATTAAATCAAGAAAATACGGTATAAAGATTAGTTTTAAGCGACTCTAATACTTCATGAACGTTACAACTCAAAAGGATCAATAACTTCTTTAGTTTGAATTGTGAATGATGCCATGTGAAAACCAGCAATAGAAGAGGGCAAAAGGTACAGTCATTTCACCAATAATAAATAGAAGCATTACCATGCAAATATAATTTCATTCAAATGCTGCCATTTTGATTTACATTGCGGAGTGGTCACTCATTATGTTTGTGCATGTGAATCAATATGGCCCACAACATTTTGGAACTTACATGACAGGTTGATTTATGACGGTAAGTTAACCTTTTGGTCACTTAGTTAACACTGAACCAGTGCTAAAAAAAATACATCCCATTGTTCAAGACTAGTAGATTTTCTTACTGGGTGAATAACTTCTAAAGCTCACTTGGTTAAAGGCCAATTAATGGACAAGGGTCCAGCCGAGTCATTCTCTAACAAAATCATTAACTACCGCAAGTAAGTTGTGGCCCCAGAAAGCAAAATGTGAAAGCTGCTTGCGCAAACAACAAGCTGGAATTCAAGTTTTCTTCTAGCCCAGTGAACAATGCCAACATGAGTTGAATTCCAGTTGTTAAATAGGTTATTTATTTTGTTTTACAAATAAAAAACTACAGTACACTTTTAATGTTGACTTCACTTTAAACATCTGGTTACAGGTACATACAGACTCAAGCATTTTGAATGTGAGAATCCTGATTTTCTAACTGTTGCCTTATATAGCTATGAAGTGATTACCTTCCTCTGGTTTAATAATCCTTTTTCCTTTTTGAAATGAATAATACACTTAATTCAAGTGAATTATGGCATCGTGCCTTTGTGTAAATTTCTGATAACACTTACACAATTCCAAAGGTTGGTTAACATAACTTCAGGACTGATTACCCCACAAGGACTTTGCTAGCAAGAGCCAAGCTGTTCATCTTTTTGTTAAGCAGAATGCAAAATTCTGTCCTATCCCAAAATACAAATGTAGACTGGCTGGTTACGTTGAAGCTTGATTTAAAATACTGTGGTAAAAACATTCTCACTGGTTCAATGGCATTTTTTAACTGAATTTTACAATGCACAGGCTAAACTTTTAACTTGTGAATACCTTATCTTCCTGTTATATTTTGAGCGTGGAATACATGATTCAAGTGATTCAAGGCATAGGAAGCAAAAAACCCCATGGATTATGGACAGTGTCGTAATTCTACCGACAAAGAATCATTACCAGTCAACTGACAAGCGATGAGCTCTACATAGTCGAAACAACTTCTTGTGTAAATGCCAGCGCTCGCTACAACCTGTTGAATTTCGCTCAATGAATTCATGAAGTCAATTTTCATCCGTGTCATGTTTCCGGGAAATATATGTTTCTTGACGACTATCTATATCTAAACCCTGCTCCCCGCAAGTTACATAGAACAGTACAGCGCTCGTTTCTTCAAGGTAGAAGCATTTCACTTCCCACGAAAACAGAGAGTTTTTTTAAAGAGTCCATCTTGATTCACCGCGTGAAAGATCGTATTGTTGAGGCTGATCGCACATGCGCCGAGCGAATAACTAGCATGGTGCGAAAATGACTGGTCCTACGAAGTACAAAATTTGATCTTTTCTTACCCCCGATTGAACCATTGCAGGATCTTCCATCGGCCGCTGAATAGTCTCCTCTGGCTGGTCATTCTGCATTAGCATTTTCATTAAATCCCTCTCGCCTTCTCCCAGCTCCATATCTAAAAGATTCCAGTGCCAAAAATGCAAATTAACATCGCGAATCAGCTCGCGTAGCTAACTTGTGCTCAACACGCACGCACAGCTACGCGATGTTTACCGGCTCTTCTCAGCAATACTAACCCTTTCCAAGCTCAAGATCACAGAAATAATAGACCAGAGGTAGCAAACACAAATATCATGAAGCAAAGCATGTGGTCATGAAAGGTCAAATTAATCATCGTGCTTCTGACGTTTGTTATAATATGACCATCATGACATGAATTGTGCTAGCAAATGTCCGTCTCCCTCTAGTCAGCCCACGTTCAAAAGGGTAATGAATGTTTTCAGATACCGCGACATAACCAATTTGGTAACATCTTACCTCACTGGTTGATAAAAGGCTTGGGGTTTTGTAAATAGCGATGGCCTTTGGAGCACAATTTCTGCGTTTTCCCAGTGGTAATCGCCCATATGACTTCGCCAACTCAAGCTTGCAGTTCACATTTCACATTTCACTTATCCCGCGACTGGTCAGCGGTAGAACCGGAAACTCGACCTAGCCCCTGGCGTCTGACGTAGCCAACTCGCCATAAGCGGAAGCGAAACCGAAAGGGATCCATTTCCGGCCGTTTAAGGGTGAGAGTGAAGACTTTGATATTTCATTGTTTTTCAAAAACTCATCATGAACGTGTAGCACTTGGTTTCATTATGACATTAGGAAGCTTAAATTTGCGCTGCCTCAAACTTCATCGCGCTTATTCCATCTTGTTTAATTCGTCAAATGTTGGCAATTTTTTTGGAGTTGAATTCGAAATGACTGTATAAAAGTTCACAAAACCGGAACCTCGGCCTTTCCTCCACTATTCTACAGCAATAAATTACATCTGTTAGTCCTTTTTACGGATCAAAATGAAGATTTCCCTACCCTTTCATATACTTCAATTCACAGAAAAACTCTTACCCTTTCATATACCCTGCCTGTTAAAGTACTCCTTCCGGGAGGGCCTTGGACCGTATTCCGGGGTACCGGGCCCAGTGCGAGATACCAAACAATCTGCGTTTTTAACCTGAATTTCATCCGATTACTTCGAGTTGTTTCTATCCGTCAGTAACGTCTGAATCGACCTGCCGTTAATGCCGTCCAGTGAGGTCACTACTCCTTTGCTTTAATTCATGCAAAAAGCAAAACACGATTTTCAAGTGGCAGACCTTTTTTCGATCATAATTCATGTTTAACGTGCAAACCAGGGGGAAAACTATTAACTGACTGCAGTATCTTGAACCGGTTGTAATTCGGTCGCAATCACGGGATGAAATACATACATACATACATATACATACATAGTTTATTTGGTAATGCAGGTTACAGAATACGCAAGACTGAAGTCCTGATGTGGACCTGCCTATCTACTTGTTAAAAACTAAAGTATATACATGTGAATAAATAGAAAATCAACAGAAGTTAGATAATAAATAATAATAACAATACAAATATAAATAAGATTAATAAAGAAATTCCTCATTCCTATTTCTTATCATGGAAGATTCCTTATTATAGCTGATAGAATTAATTAAGTCCTTGCTAGATCTAAGTCTTTTTTTAAAACATTCTAAGCTAGAAGACTTTTTGATCGAATCAGGAAGTGAGTTCCAAGCAATGGCAGCTCTATGCTTAAAAGTCAGCCTGCCAATTTCTGATTTAGGACTTGGAAATTCAATATTCATTGATTTCCTCAGGCAGTGAGATGATTGTTTTAACATTACTAGATCATTTAAAACATTGGTATTGCATCTATAGTAGGATTTATACGCTTCTACTAACAGTCTCTTAGTATAGTAAAATGATAAATTGTTCCAGCCTTTCAATTTATTTAATTGATCAGCATTCGAATTCCTTGAAAGTTTAAAAATAAGTTTAGAAGCTCGTATATGAGCACGCTCAAGATCATCCATTAGTGCAGGTGAGCAGGAACCCCATACTAGTATTCCGTATAAGACACTTGGAAGTACAGTCCTAAAATAAATGGTCTGTAGAATGGATGATGGCAAGAATTTAATTCTTCTGAGGACTGCTATTTTCTTATTAAAAGATTTTAACAGACTTTTAGTGTGTTCTTGCCAAGAAAGATTACTGTCTATAGTTACTCCTAGACATTTACATGATGATTTTAATTCAATAAATTTTTCACCATACTTCAAAGGCAACAATGGACCAATGAATCTTTGTTTAGATAATAATAAGGCTTCTGACTTAGTTTCATGAGCAATCAATCTGTTAGCACCACACCAACTAAGAACTTGATCTAGTATAACTTGCATGGCCTTAATTATAGTATCAATATTATCACTTATGGTAAATATGGTAGTATCATCAGCAAACATATAAAGTTCTCCCGAGGTTACAGATTCAGGAAAGTCATTGACAGTTAAATAAATACAACACGGAACACTTAGTTCAAAAACACAACAATCTCCTTTAATTGAAAAGAAGCTTAAGGATGAAAAAAGAAAACAAGGAAACAATTATAAGAAAGAAAAGCTATCAGAACTGCATTATACTTGGCGGTGAAAATAGCAAGAAGGTCGAATGACAACGTGACATTGGTCTTAGAAACTTCCCATAAACAAAATAACCGCGGAGACCACAAAGTGGCTTTAAATGAAAAACCTACCGACTCTCCGCAATGATTCATCATTCGCAGTTCAATTTAGCAATTCATTTTCGAAGACAAGGGTAATTTGGCTGTTTACGATAAAGATTATCGAATTGTTTGAACTCCACGCAAGCATGCCACCAATACGATCCGCTGAATATCAAGGGACAATCCCGCTAAAATTTCTCATAATTATACATAATTATACGAATGTTTAGACAATCAACCAATGAAAATCACTACCCGGTTCTATTAGTGACGTCAATGGTCGGTTCAGACGGTGCAGCGAGGAGAAAACGACTCTCGGCTGAAATTCAGGCTATCTGCGTTTTAAGAATAATGGTAAAATTATTTAACAATTAATCCGACCAAGTAGCGCCATCCTTTTCATCTTTTTCCACTCACTCACTAACAACCAACTTCACCTTAAATTAGCCAAAATACCCTCCGTTACTTCTAAACTGCCGGCATTCCGCCCTTTACTTCCCGATTTTTCTCAGGCCAGAATTGCTATAGAGCAGTCTTTTTTAGCATTCATGTGTCTGTAAGCCGAATCACTGGCCAGGTAGTAGTCCTTCTGCCCATTACTAGCAGTCAAAACAGAAGAAGTTTATTTCATGTAATCTCACTGAGCATTTGTGTTTAAATCGAGCGTGCATTTTTGAGTTGCCGTATTCTCGTATACCAGCTTACTCTTAAGCTTGATAGCGGCAGCCCGGTGAAATATTCGGCACGAATTTTCTCTTTAATTGGTCTATCAAGATTTGCCACTAAAACCACAAAATCCTGAAAATGAAAATTTCAGTATAAAGATAAAACGTCCTCTAGAATCCATCTGAAGAAAAATGATACGGCTACACCATGTCCTCGACCTTTTGATCGGTCCATCCAGAGTAGATATACGTCACCTAAAACGCGTTCGATGCGACAGACGTTCACCTAAGAATTCCGAACAGATAAATCGTTTTTTGGGCACCTCCATATCAACCAAACAGGTTTCCAATGAGTAGAGAAAATCATTTGAGTCACCGCAGACGTAATTGCAAACACTCGGTCGTTGGGTGCTCCTGGTGGAGCCACAACAAATAATCTTCAATTCTAAATAATATTTTGATGCCATTGTTGAAGCTGTTACCTGGGAAAAGAAGAAGTATACTTCTAGGTAAACTATAATCTCCCTCTTCTGTTTGTTGCGCTTATGCAACGTTTTTTCCTTAAGATAAAGTACTACATTAAAATCATAAAAAGATCCACCTTTCATGTTTCAGGCCACGCTCTTGAAAATCACGTGACTTGTAGCAGCCAAGTTAGTGATGCTATAGAGAGCGGATGGAAATGTGTAGCTGGCAGCTGTTATGTATCCTACAATTTCCATTATACGGGAAAAGCAGCAACTTACAGTTGTTAATCGATCAAGTTCAGAGTTGTTACCGGTCTCTTTCGGAGGGTCAAGGGTCCACTTTGGGGCCGACAGTTTTCACCCTTTTCGCAAACGATCTTCTGTCCTGGCCTCTGTGTCTTCCGAATCCGTCTATGTATATGTTTGCTGACGACACAACTGTTTACTGCATGAGTGACACGGCAGAAAAAAGTATTGCCCAGTTAAATACTGCACTCCGTGAATTAAACGAGTGGTGCCTCATTAACAGACCAACACCCCACACAAGTAAAAGTGAGGCCATACTAATCTCTGGAAGAAATCCCCCCGTTAATATTCCCCCGATCTTCGTTGGAAACTCTACGATTGAATGGGTATCTAAATCACGATTACTGAGAATAACCGGCAATGAGAAACTGACCTGGACTCCGCAAATGCTGGAACTCAAAATATCATTTGCTAAAAAACTAGGATTACTTAAGAAGTCGAGATTTCTCCCTGGAAGCGTTCGTCAGGATCTCTATTTTAGGGTCATTTTACCTTCAGTGGCCTATGGTCTTAAACTATCGGGTTCTTGCTGCATTTCCGACTTATTTCAGTCCCTGGAAAGACTCCATAGCAGGCTGCAAGACTTATTTTTAATCTGCCCAAAGACATGGCATCGGCTGAAGTCCTATACAACGGGACCAATCGCCGACCCTCTCTATTTATTGTAAATCTGCTATTTTTATCTGTTTTCCTAAAGCTTCATTTCATATCGTCACCTCAGGCTAAAGCTTAAATCTCTAGTTAACTTTAATGAATTTAACTTCAAGATAACGTCTTCATCCACTTGTAATTTTAGAAAAGATGACTTTGTCTATACTTAAATTTATGTTCACAATTTCACATTTGTAAATATAGCCAATTTATGTTCAAACGCTTTTTCTGTAAATATCACTAGATTTTAGTTTCTAGTTTATTTAGTGATTAGTTAATTGCAAATG